TAAATTTTGTGTGATTTATTATCAGTTAATGTTGAATAGTTATTAACTTAAAGAGTGTCATATACCTTATTTCCTTAAAAATTAGTGCTTTAAAATAGTTGAGCGAACTTCTTTTTTGGGAAAACGGTTTTATAAATTTCCGTTTTTTGGAATCGACGTCTCATATTAAATTTCTTTGATTCATTTTTATTATGTGTATGAAGCTTATAATTATTATTATTTCAAAATAAAATAAGAGATATTGAGATATTGTTTGAATCACAAGCTATCCCTGGTGCAGGCATTTAAAAGCTAAATTTAACGCATTTTCATGTTTCTTTTAGAAAACATGATTAATTCTCCTTTTCATTTGCATTAAGCGGCAAGGGCATTAAAATGTTTATTATTTTAGTAGAACAAGCGTGTGTTGGACAGCAAGCTATTATATTACAATACTTGAAAACTACTTTTAAAATTTTTCTTGAACGTGCAGTTTTCTTGCGGTGTTTTTTAAGTGCATCTAACACTTTACCGTTTTAACAATGGCCTTTCTTTACATTAGTATTTTAAAATTTGCGTTTTAATTCCCGATGCATGACTGATATACTATTGTCAATCATTTTGTTTTAACGTTCAAAACTAAACGATACTTTACTAATTAAAGAAATAATATTTATTTAAAATGTATCTCATTTAAATTTATATATTTTTCTAAAAAAAATTATACTTTTTTGTACACATTCGTCAATGAGGAAAAAATTGCCACTTGTTTTACACCAATTAGATCTGTAGCGTGGAGAAAAATAGTTCCTATTGGACATAAATGTGCAGAAAGTACTTTTTTGAAAAGATAAAAGGAGTGATTGATGTTGATGACTACTACTGACACTTGCAGTTTTTGTAATTTCCGAAAACTAGAACATCTGTGAGATCGATATTTGCTGTATAAAAAGTAGCTGGTGTATTTTTATCCCTCTCTTCGGGATTAAATTATGGTGGCTTCACTTAACGCGTGTTTATTTGCGTGGATGAGAGGGAGTAATATTTGTTTATTTTGTAGACTGAAATAGAATTCAAGGTAATTACGGTATACTTCACATTTTATGAGAGAAAATAAAAAAATGACCCGTTACATTTTATATCTCTTGTTACTTAATTTTAAACGCTTAAGCTAGAGTCCAATTGATGTTATGTGCATTTCTGATTTGGCATGTTTTTTTTTCTTCTCTCCTCTTAGTTTGCACTGCTTGATAAATCAAACGATTAATCGTCCTTTGAAAACCTGTTTTTGCTGTCTAAATTTTTCAGATTTTCTGAACCCTAAAAAATAAATGTTCCTGAAATAAACTCCAGACTAATTTTTTTGAAGTTTTATTTTTGATTTTCCCCCTCAGATTATCCAATTTTGCTATGAATAAGAAAAACTAATAGCTTAGTTTTATTTATTTATTTTTTTGCTGTCAAATAGTTTTAAGACTAAAGTTAAGGATCTCTAATTTTTTTTTTTTTTTGAATTTCAAATTAGTTTTGTAACTATTAAATGTTGAAAGTTTTTAATTTTTGATGAAACTGAAATATTAACAAAAAGATTTTCTATTCTCTTTTGGACATGATCAAACCATCTGCTTTTATACAAAAATTACTTTTTGAATGCTTTTAATCAGGGGATTCTGTAATGATATATATTTTAACTAATATTTAGTAAAATGCCAATTTCTTGATGTGACCGAAAAGTGTATTTTGTCGGAATTATGAGTTTTGAGTTAATATATTAAGTAAAGACATGAATCTAGAATGTCGATTTTTAGTAAATTTTAATAACTTTTTTTTCGTCGCATAACTAAGTTTGGTGAAAAGTTATTGGGCTATTATTAGAAAAGTCTATTATTAGAGTTATATTTCTTCCAACCCCATATTCTTATTTTTTGAGTAAATAATTGTTGGGTTTTGTTTTTTTTATATTTTTTTTTCAACGAACGAATATTAATTATCAATCCTCTTCAATATTTGAAATTTTTTACTACTTAATTAGTAATATATAAGTGGTTAAACTATGAATAAAGCAGAGAAATGAGCAATCGAATTGAGTTTTGCAAAACGATTGCTTAAACATTTCTAAGGGTCAGCGTAGCCTGTAAATTATTAAAAAAATTCATATTTTATAAAAAAAATTATATATTTCAAAAAATTTTTTTTTAATGTACATTTGCAACTTTTAAAAAAGCAATTTTACCTTTTATAACAAGAAGACTCAGAATAACTAGAGACGTTGCTGAGGCGTTACAGTAACTATCTAAAGTAAAAGCATATTTATCGAAGTTTTATTTTAAAACATTTTCACTTACATTAAAAAAGGCGCTCTAAATATTTTGATGAAAATGTCAAGGAACATTGTTAGACTCAATACAAAGCTTGTTTTAAGTCCGGCGATCTCAGGCGTTAGTCGCCCATGTAATTCTGAAGTTCGGAAATAAATCTTATGTTACAACTGAATTATTAGAAGTTTATAATATTATTTGTGCATTATGTTTTTTTTTTTGATCATCACTCAGATTATGTTACAGAATCATCACAAACCATAGAATAAAATTAATTTATTTGTTACTTTAGCTATAATTTTTTATTTTTAAAGTAAACGAGAAATTTAGTACATATTTTTTTCATTGAAGAGGCGCTTCATGAATTAGCTTCGTTAATTAAAAGAGGCCCTGGTAAAAAATAAATAAATAAATAAATAAATAATTAATATTTGGATACTAATATTTTTGGTGTATTCGTTGAATTGAAAATTATAGATAAAAGAATCGTATTTTAAATTGTTTTTAGTCAACATATCGTGAATTCGTCCGTACAAAATATAAAATGAAATTATTTTTGGGAAACTAAAAACAAAATTTAGTTGCGGTGTTTTGAAGTAGTTGTTCGTAAAGCTGTGAAATATGTTATTGGAAATTGCGTTATTGTATTCAAAAGAGGTTTATAAATTGTGATTAACAAAGCACAATGAAGACATTTTCTTTTTCTTTGATTCATCGGCGATTTTCTTAAAGGGTGACACAGCATATTGCTTGATTGTGGTGAATTATTTTAGCAATTGTTGCTGTTGTAAACATTAAAAGCTGATTACATTGAAATCTAGACATAACTTTCTTCTTTCTTGTTTAATTGGTGATAAACAGGAATGACAAAAAAAAAAAAAAAATTNCTCTCAAAAAAAAAAAAAAAAAAAATTACTCGTCTATTTATAATATTTAGGGTGATCTTCAGTTAAGTTTTATATTCAAAACAAATTTTAATGAAAGCAGTAAGGTGTCCGTGACACGATAAAACTAAAGAGTAAATAAATTTTCTTCAAAAAAGAGAAATGCAGATTTTTACAGTTTTTCTTATTCTATTCATTACTTTATCTATATTCAATATAAATATGTTTTTTTTAAATAGCTTTTTACGTCATTTAAAATTCCTGGATTTTTCTTTTATTGTTTTTAAAATAAATTTTTTGCTAACGGAAAAAAGAAATACTTGAGATAGTTTCACAATAAGCTCTTTAATTGAAGTGTTTGGGGCAATATATTGATTAGCCAAATTTTCAATTTGTGTTGGAGGGAGTTTCAGGTAGAAAAACATGACTTCCATTTAGGTAGTAGGGTGTTTACGTAATTTTGCAGTCTCTAAGCGGATTAACTGCCTAGAAATAATAGTAAGGAACAGTTAAATATAAAAATGTCACATTTGGAAAAAGTATGACCTCAAACCCTTAAATTCATTCAATGTGTCTCTTGGTCTTAAATAATAATTTCGCTTTCTTTAAAATTTTCTTATTTGTTTATTTTTATAATTTTTTTTATAAATTATTGCACTTCTGTTCTTTAGATATTATACTATAATATCTAAAGAACAGAAGTTCACTAACAATAGCGCCTATAATGTAGGTGCTACTGCTTTTTAGATACAGATTATATGAGAAAAGATGTCAATTTATGTTAGTTCTTTTTAATCCATTTTGTATTTAGATTAATCAGGTTAAAAAAAAAGTTTTTGTTAAAAACTTTTTTTGTTTTGGTTTACAGGTTTTTTTTTTTGGTTTATTTTCAACAAAAATTAACTCTTAAATAATATGATACATAGCTTTCTCCAAAAAGCTGTTTAATAAATATTTTTTTTTTGTTGAAAAAAAGTAAATATAAAACTTTAAACTATCTGTTTCTTTATTAAATTTAATTTGTTTAAATGTGAGTTATTCGTATAATACTTGATGCTTAACAATTGTATTGGTCGTTTTCAGTTTCTTCCATTTTGTCTAGTTTCTTCTGATTTTATACCCGTTTCTTCCACTGTTCTGGAAAAAATAGGTTTATTCTGGACGAAAAACCAACTCTGTTTAGCATAGATATTTTTGGGAAAAGGTGCTTCTGCCTAAATATTTAAAAAATGTAGATTTATATTTATTTGAAATACAGATTCCTAGTCGGAATTAACTCAAAATTGTTAATTTTCTTTCATTTTGTTACAATCAGACTGAAAGAGTTTTTATAAATGATTGATCGATTATTAAACATAATATTATAAAAAAAAAAAAAAAAAAAAAACGGGCTTAGTTTTTTTTATGTTAAAAAAAAAAACCCATTTGATTTAATCCATGGTTTAAATCACTTTGGTTTAAACATGCCAACCCTGGATTTAATAAAAGCTAACGAAGAGTAATTTATTTTCTACCATAACCATTATTAACCTTCAGGATTCTATTTTTGATGTCAAAAACAATGTCATAGTGCTTAGCACATTCAAAATTTCGATACATATAAGCTAATTTAAAAAAAAAAAAAAAAGAAATTCAAATTAAAGAAAATATAGTTTAGAAACATGCAGTTAATCTTCATATTTTTTGTTATATTTTGCTTTTATCTTGAGAAATTTCATTTAAATTTTTTACATTAAGCAATTATTATTTTAATTTTCATTCTAATTTAATATTTTATTGGATCAATTAACAACAAAATAATGATTTTTACTTTTCTTAGATGGCACTGATCGCCGTATCACAGTGGACAAGCCCGTTGTGGAGTTGGATGGTGATGAAATGACCAGAGTGATCTGGGAGAAGATCAAAGAAAAACTCATCTTTCCATACCTGAAGATTGAATGTCTATACTATGATCTTGGTCTGCCTTACAGAGACCAAACAAATGATCAAGTCACTTTAGATGCTGCCATGGCCATCAAGAAGCACAATGTTGGTATCAAGTGTGCAACAATTACTCCTGATGAAGCTAGAGTTGAAGGTAAATTAGTTATTCTTTCCCTCAAAGGGCTTAGCACAAGGTGTTCCTTTTTACATTGAGTCCAGTTTATATCACCATTTGATCAGCTAACCTATTTGCACTAAGCTAATTTCTGCACTTGTGCCAGTTAAATTTACCTTAATCAATTGATTTATTCTGTTCAATTTTTAACATCTCTGTTTGTACTTTCTTTTGTTTCAGCTAATCTGTTAGTTATTTCAGTCAAACCCTGCTATGCTTCAAGGGACTGAAATTTCGGTTCACTATAACCGGGAGTTCACTATTCTGTACTGCAAACAATTTTAACTTATTTTTCCGAACTGCTCCCCCCCTTTTTTTTTACACATTATTTAAATAAATGAACAATAAAAAGAAATACAAAAATGATTAAACAATACGTAGTAACAAAAATTTGTTAACTTTTATTTTTTATTACTCTTCCTCTTGCGTAAGGAGAATTAGGGATGGCCTTTATTTAGGGATGGGAAACTGAGATAAAAGATGCAAAAACAAAAAAACAAAACAAAAAAATCCTTATGCCTTCATTCCACTCAATAGATGGTTTTAAAAATCGGTATATGTGTTTCATGTAGAAATTTTAAAATTACCAAAAAATGAAGAAAAAAAATCAGTTGACAACAGAAAAAAGTTCATTAAATTCAATTTCCTCAGTTTTTTTGGTTCACTATTTCCCCAAAAAATTATATTATGTGTGTATAGCAAGGTACGAAAACGAACTTTTTGTTCACTATATCCGGGAGTTCACTATAAACCATGTTCACTATAGAGGGGTTTGACTGTATTAAAATAATTTCTTTGACTGAATTACATGTTGTTTTTTGTTCTATAATTTTTGAATTTGAGCTTTTAAATAATTTAAAATTTAGTAGTTGCTAACAGTCAATTGTGATAAATAGATCACAAGAAAATTGCCAAATTTTTAAATGTCTGATTTAAAAAAAAAAAAAATTTGTTAGCTTGAATTAGTTGATTTGATTGGGCACTAACAGAAAAACTTACTAAAGGGCATTTTTTTACGGAAAGGACACAATTGTGCGAAATGCTGTTAAAGCCTTAATTTATTTTGGAGTCTAAACGTAAGTTTTTTTAATGAAAAAATATCTTTTTTTTAGTAAATGCAAGAAAACATGTTTTCAAAATGCATTCTGTGTTTGCTTATTATATAATTTTTTTTAAAGTTGCTAAAAATGTTTAATTATGTTTTTCTTTTATTAAGTTTTTCAATTCAAAATGTGGATTTTTTCTTCTTGAAATCTTATCTTGTTATAAATCATGTTCAAGTTTCCATGAAAGTCAATATTTAAATTTTACTTTGCAGAATTCAGAAATATTTTTGTCTTTTTTTAATAGAATTTAAATTGAAGAAAATGTGGCCTAGTCCAAATGGTACTGTTAGGAATATCCTGGGAGGTACTGTGTTCAGAGAACCAATTATTTGTAAATCTATTCCACGTTTAGTACCTGGATGGACCAAAGCAATTGTGATCGGAAGACATGCCCATGGCGACCAGGTATGGATTTTTTTTTCATGCATTAAAGTCACTTATTGTTTATACCATAGTTGTACATTACATTTAATTCACATAAACTCGAAATTGATAAATTGTTATTAATGTTAGACCAGCAAGCATACTTTCTTTCGTATTTTACTTAGTTGCTTATTATATTTTGTTAAATAAATATATTTATTTAATCTATTTTGTGTTATTCAAATATTTCTAAAAAGAAAGCTTTCAAAAAAATGTCTGTATTTAGTATTTCTGTAATAATTTTAAGACTTGAGATATTTCCATTATTATTTATTTGTTACTTTTATATTTTTTATATCCTAATCAGTTTGGATTATGAGTTGAAAATTTAGATGTAATTGGAAACTGTTTTTTTTTTCTGTTTATCTGTTTAAATTGGCTGTTAGAAATTTAAATAGAAAACTTGTATTGATAAAATCCATTTTTTGACCATCAGCATAAGTAACAATTGTATTTTTGTAATAAATTGGAAGAACATTATTTAAAAAAACTTGACAGAAACATTATTTAAAAAACTTACTAACACTCAATATTTAACACAAGATACACATGGCCAGAGCCGCAATGGCTCAGGGGATAGAGCGTTCACCTTCCAATGTGGTGAACTGGGTTCAAATCCAGCGATCGCTGGTCAATACGAATCCGCATCTGGCTTGCATCAACAACAGTGCTGACGTGAAATATTCTCAGTGGCAGACGGATCATGGGTTAGAGTCCCTTTGCCATCTGGCTAACTGTGGAGTGTTAGTTCCATCAAAAAGTCCTCTATAAAGGCAAAATTTCTCCCAATACGTGATCTAGTAGTTCCCTTGTCTTCTGGATTGGGTTCAAAATTACGAGGCTACAGAGTTGAACATTAGAAGTCGTAAACCTAAAAATTGGGTCGGCTAGGTTAATAATATTAAAAAAAAAAAATAAGAAAGTTATGAAAGTTAACATATTCAAATTAATGTTTTAAAAATGAAGTAATGAACTATTTTTTTTCTTGATGTAATTAGCTCTTAGAAAAAGAATGATTCGAAAAAAGATTTTTTTCAGTTAAAACCTCACCCCCACTACTTTGTGCTCCTCCTTCGCTTAGGGTATTCATAAAAGTTCCTTATAAGAATTTTATTATTATTTTATTTTTATTGCTTTATTATATGTTATTGTTCTCTGAATCTCGAACTTCATAAGATAGTGGAGGTAACATATAATATGTTTGGTAATCTATTAAAGATATGATTAAATTTTGTAGAAAAAAAAAATTGGGTATTAACATCAAATAATCTACATAAATGAATAAAATGCTTAACAATCTTCATTATAAATAAATAAAGACATAAAATAATTAAATACATGATTTACAAATAATTATTTATCTTCTGTATAATGCTAGTTTTTAGTAACTTTAATCTTATACCAGATAATATTTCTCATACACTGAGTTAGATCTCTTACGATCCTTGAAAAATTCTTATTTTTCATTCTTCTTACATACTTTAAGATTCCCTAAAATGTTACTATTTTTGACTTCCTGCTGAAATGATTTGCTGTCGTAAAATATTGATTATGTTGAGGTTAAAAACTTTTAAGAAGTTTTTATATTCCATCTTCATTTGAGTGTAGATGCTAAATAGGAAAAATAATTACCCATCAGAATATATAGGAAAAATTAATATTAACTTATACATTTATTTTTTTTAATTTTATTTTATCCTTTTATAAGGAGGAAAATAAATGGGCGGAAAACTTGTATTTATAGCACATATATATATTGAACTTTGTTTTATTTTTTTAATATATTTTAAATTTTTTTTTTCCATTTATTGCATTATTTACTTAACTTACTTTTATTGATTTGCAAGGTGCAAATTTATTCTTTGGCATAAATATTTTAAAAATATTCATCAGCATTTAAAGTTGAAAAATCAGATATTTATAAGCAAATTAAATTATTATAATCAAAGTCATGAATGAAAATGTAAAGAAAAATAAATTAATAAATACTTAGTTAAATTCAGTAAATTAAAAAAAAACAAAACATTTATAATGAAACACCGAATCCTGCTCAATATATAGTTTTGTTTTTCAGGATTGTATTTGTTGTTACTCCAACTTATAAATTATATGAAAGTAATCTGGTCTTTATTTTATAGTACAAATGCACAGACTTTGTTGTTGAAAAACCTGGCCGAGTTGAACTTCTATACACACCCCATGACGGTAGTGAGGCAAGAAAAATAGAAGTGTTCAATTTCCAGCAAACAGGAGGTGTTGTAATGGGAATGTATAACACAGATGACGTAAGTACATAATGATCTGGAAAATGTATAAGTATAAATGTATAAGTATCAGAGATGATTGTGCTCCGGGAAAAATCTGGATTTCCGAATTTTTCTTTAATGCGATCCGGAGTTCCAAGATCCAGAAATTTCACGTTATGTTTCATTACAAGTTATGTTAAGAATTTATATTGGCTAACAATATTTTTTGTTTACATTTTATTCCGTTTTTTTATACATAGATTTTTTTTATTTATTTTTGATATTTTCAACAAAAGACTTTTTCATTCTTTGTTGGCAAGCTGCCAGTTGTATAGACAGATCCGTCTTTAATTATTTTTTTTTAGTCTATAGAATATCGCTTAGCACTAACTTTTTCGTTTTCATTAGAATTTGTTTGTCGATTTTTTTTTATTTATTTGTTTATTTATATTATTACTAGTGTGTGCAAAGGAATGACTGCTCCTCATAAATATCATATTTACTATTTATTTGTAGATTAAGCATACTTTATTCAAATAATTAATCGTTTTTTATAATTATTATTTATTTATTATTATTGTAGTTATGTGTTAAATAATAATAAGTGTAATTAGTGATGAAAGTAAATTTATACATAATTATTCTTTTAAATTATGCTGCTTATAATTTATTTTGAATTTTATGTTTTGAAAATAGCAATGATTTCAATTTACAAAGACATTAATTTTTTGAAATGCATCGATAACGATTTTACTCAAAGAATTTTCAGGATTTTTGAGTTGGGCTCACAATTAACCCTGAAGTGTAAATGTATAAGTATAAATGCATAAGTATAAATGAATAAGTATAAACCTACTTCAGTTAACAGAAATGTAATGGAAATTAAGTTGCACATTTTTGTAGAAAAAAACCTGTTGTGCATATTTTACACAACAGGTTTTCAATAAACCCTGAAGTATCAATGTATAAGTAAAAAAGTATAAACATACTTCAGTTAAAAGAAATGTAATGGAAATTAAGTTGCACATTTTTGTAAAAAAAAAAACTTGTTGTGCATATTTTTTTTAACGATTCTTATGTTACTTTTTGATAAAAATCACTCGCAAATTGTACTTTATGAAACATAAGTAATGTGCCATATTTTTTTTAAGCTTTTGATAAATATTTTTGAAGTTATTTGAAATAAAAAAATAAATAAATATACCATATTTGTATACTTTAAATAACTAATTTTACTTAAACAGTTATTTCAAAGAAAACTAATGTATATTTGGAATCATTTTTGAAAGAAATTAAAAAATAAAGAAGAAAATGATATTTTATTTTTCTTATGTGGTTGATAAACTATAAATTTTTTGCCTTGTTCATTTCATCTATAGAAACAAAATATACTAAGCATATACCATACTGTTTCATTTTTTTACAGCTATCAATTTTAAGATTTGTAACTTTAAAAGTTTTAATGATATTTATTTTTAAACAACAAAACAGAAGTGTAATATTATATAAAAGTTTTACTACAGGTTATAATACTTTATGGCCCTCTTTGCAAACAGTCACATTTTGAATTGCATTATTCTCTGATAGCAACTAGAGTTTTCTCATTTTATTAAACAGGGCAATTCCTCCATCAAATTAAGGTAGTTTAATTATAAAAATAATAAAGTATTTAAAAGATATTTTAGAATTTCTTGAAATTTAAATGAATTCATCAATATGACGATCTATTTTAATTGATAAAAATTTCATAGATTAAATATTCATTTAAGCATTAAAAAGAACAATTTACAATATGACAGTGTTTTCATTACAGAAACAGAGTGAGATCTCAAAAACAGAGTGAGATCTCAAAAAGTTAAGTGAGATTTCTAAAAATTTAAAAAACGCGAATAGACTTGGAAAAAAAATATTTATTTGATTATAATACATTTTTAACATCTTCTAATTTTTAAAGCATTGAATATTTTTGCTGCATCATCACATGGAAAACGTTCTATATCTACTTTTTCATCAGCTTTTCGCATTATGTTGCTCAAATGTTTATCAGTCATTTGTGTAAGATATTTTGTCTTAATTCGGTTTTGAGTGCTAAATGACCTTACAACAGATGCTGAACAATTCGGAATCACTAAGTAAATTAGTAGCATTGAAAAAAATTTTAATGTCTTACATGAAGAAATCTTACGTTCCGTGAACACGTGGTCGCAGAAAAATGTGTTCTAAAAGGTGTTCCGTCATTCGGGGGGAGGGGGGCATTGTGTTCTGCTGTTCGCACTGGTTCTGAACATTACTGGTAAATAGGGAAGCTAGATAACAGGGATCCATGTTGAAAATAATGAAAGATCAAGGAAGAAAAGTTAACCGGATTTTATTCAAAATGGCAGAAGATGAATTTTTTTCCAAAATTTGCTAATTTTGAAATTGATTAATAGAGTGCGCGATCTTCTCGCATTAATAATTTTTTAATGCGAGAAAAGAAAAAATAAGCAAGGTTCTCGCGCTGTAATGAAAACACTGTATGGTTTTTTCACAAAAAGAAGTAAAGAATATTTAATTTTGCATATAAAAATGAAAATTTCTTGCTAGGTTATGAACTTGACCTAGGAAGTTAGTATATTTTATAATAACATTCAGTTTATTGTACTATATTTTATAATAACATTCAGTTTATTCTACATTTCTAAGATTGTTTTAAGAAATTTTCATAATTTTTACATAAAATTTAATGCAACTAAAATTTACTAATCATATATATAAAATGAAACCTGTGTGAATAAGTTTACAAATTTTTGGATGTGGAGGAAGCTATTCTTTGAAGTTTCAATCTTATCTAGCAGTAGAATACTTTTTTATCTGGTTTTTATTTTAGTAGTATCAAAAATGTTCTTTACAATCGTAAATATTATCATACTGTTAGCAAAACTTTTCACACACCTCATACCAAATGATTGAGCAAAAAAGCATTGACTGATTTTTTTATAAAATTTTTATTTAATTGCAATTTTTTAATAAATCTATTGAATAAATATTAATTAATGAATCAATTATTAAATTGCATGTAAAAGAAGAAAGTTATGTAATTTTGAAAATTTGTCCAATCAAAAGTCAAATACAATGTTAGAGAACCATATTTAGAGGCTCTACTTGTCAACTAAAGTCCATAAAGATTCCGATAATATGAGGATTCCAACTGCTACAGATTTCTTGCAATCTCTATTTACGTTTTCTAATTAAGGAATTATAGAGAGTTTTAAAAATGATAGGAAAAGTAAAAATTCTCCTTTTTTGTTTTTAACCAGTGAATAATTTCCTTTTTGTTTCATGACTTTAAAGAAGTTTTTTTTTTTTTTTCAAATCTTTTATAAAATTTTCAATTTATTCATTATGAGAAAGATGGCAGAATATCAACCCATGGTTTAGTATTGTAGAAAATTATCCGTTATTATAAATATCCAAATTAGCATTTAATTGAAAAAGAAAAAAGCTTTCAAAATCAGTGTTGCCACATTTGATTAAACTACCATCAAACTTAACATTTAATAAATAGTTATTAAAAATTAGTTTTTCAATATTAGCTTTTAATATTAGCATTACGATATTAGTTACAATATTAGTATAATTTACAATATTAGCTTTAAAAAAATTTTTTTTTCAAACTTCACAGCTTTACTAATCATTATTTTCCTTTTTGTAGTCCATCAAGGGTTTTGCCAAAAGCTGCTTCGAATATGCTGTAATGAAAAAATGGCCACTCTATCTCAGTACCAAAAATACAATTCTCAAGAGCTATGATGGAAGGTTCAAAGATATTTTCCAAGAAATTTATGACAGGCATGTATACTGTACAAAATGTATTTGTAAACTGAGGCTTTGCATTTAAGCTTTATTTAATAATGTTTGTTTCATTTTATTAGGGATTACAAAAGTAAATTTGAATCCCTTGGCATCTGGTATGAACATCGTCTTATTGATGATATGGTTGCTCAAGCTCTAAAATCCTCTGGAGGATTTGTATGGGCATGCAAAAATTACGATGGAGATGTACAATCTGATGTTGTTGCTCAAGGTAAATATTATTTTATGTATTTCTTGTAATAGGTGTAAATATATCAAATGTGTGAAGTGCATTAATTTCCATGGGAAAACTTATGAAAAAAGTACTGAGGGGAAAATCATTTACGTATTTAAAGATACGTATTAAGATATTTATCAATATCTTAATACGTATCTTTAACACTTTTTTGTGTAAAAGCTTAGCAAAAATTATTTTATGATAAAAAAATTATTTTTAGCTAATTAATTATAAATGCCTAATAATTAACTATTTTAGGTAACCTTTATCTCTCATATTTTAATACCTTTAAAACTTGTTTGTTCTTTAAATATTTTCTTTTAATTAAATTTAAGTTACATTAGAAAAATAATATTAATAGATATAAGTTTCATTTCTTCCATAACTGGAGCTGTTAAACTGTCTCTGCATACCATTACAAAGTAGACGCTTAGATACAGACAAAGTAGACACTGTGGAATATATCTGATTTGCTATGAAAAATAAATTGATAAAGAATGCAAGGATAAAAGCTTCAGAAAAAAAGTTTAGTACAAACAGTACGCAACTTTGTTTAATTATCGGCAATAGAAAATCCTTAATGAAATATTCTTTGGTTAATAGATTAAATTGTTTAAATATTTTAATAGTTGTATAAAATGCTGAATTAGTTAAATGATGTTTTAAGTTAAATGAATTTTGTTTTTATAGGTTATGGCTCATTAGGTTTGATGACCAGTGTTCTAGTGTGCCCAGATGGTAAAACAATTGAATCTGAAGCTGCTCATGGTACTGTAACAAGGCATTACAGGGAACATCAAAAGGTATTTTTCTAATTATTAAAAATATACTCTTACTTTTATGATTTTGTAATTCTATACTTTATTATAAATGGTGAATAAATTTTTTATTAACATAATTGTAATACAATAATCTGTGATTGCAGCTATCATGTATTATAGTGTAAATAAGCATTAAAAAGAACAATTTACAATATGACAGGGTTTTCATTACAGAAACAGAGTGAGATCTCAAAAACAGAGTGAGATCTCAAAAAGTTAAGTGAGATTTCTAAAAATTTAAAAAACGCGNTTCCCTACTGTATTTGTGAAACTGCTTTTTACACACATCATACCAAATGATTGAGCAAAAAAGTATTTACTTACTCACTTGAATTGATTAATTTTTATGAGTTAGGCGGCAATATGTTTTGTTGACTATTTTTTAATGAAATTTTTATTTGATTGCAATTTTTTAATAAATCTATTGAATATATATTAATTAATGAATTAATTATTAAATTGCATGTACTTACGTAGTTTTGAAAAGAACAAAGTTATGTATTTTTGAAAATTTGTTCAATCAAAAGTCAAAAACAATGTTAGTGAACCATATTTAGAAGGTCTACTTGTCAACTAAAGTCTCTAAAGATTATGATAATATGAGGATGCCAACTGCTACGGATTTCTTGCAATCTCTATTTAAGTTTTCTAATTAAGGGACTACGGATAGTTTTAAAAATAATAGGAAAAGTAAAAATTCTCCTTTTTTATTTTTAACCAGTGAATAATTTCCTATTTATTTGCTTCATAACTTTAAAGAATTTTTTTTCAAATCTTTTATAAAATTTTCAATTTATTTATTATGAAAAAGATGGCAGAATATCAACCCATAGTTTAGTTAGTACTATAGAGAATTATCTGTTATTCAGAGGTGATTGTGCTCCGGTAGTTTCCGGAAATCTTAGGTCCAGAAGTTTTAAGAAATCATCGATCACATTTATGTATAAAAATTCTTGATTATTTTATTTAAAAATATTAGAACTAGGCCATGGCACAGAATAGATCAAGATGGCAAAAACTTATTGGGACCGCCTTGACCTGTCATAGGCTGTAGTGCCCAAGAAGAAGAACTAGAATTTATGCTTGGCATCTTTCATTTGTAAATATTTTTTCTGGTAGAATAATAAATGTGATTAGAGATAAAAATAAACTTATACACAATTGTTCATTTAAATTATGCTGTATATAATTTATTTATACTTCAATGTTTTGAAAATATCAATGATTTAAGTTTATAAAGACATTATACGTCTTTAATGATTTTACTCAAGAAATTTTTCGGATTTTTGAGTTGGACTCACAATAACCCCTGGTTATTACAAATATCCAAATTAGCATTTAATTGAAAAAGAAAAATGTTTTCAAAATCAGTGTTGCCACATTTGGTTAAAGTGCCATCAAACTCTACATCTAATAAATAATTATTAAAAATTAGCTTTACACCTTTTTTAAAAAAAGAAATTCAAACTTCACAGCTTTACTAATCATTATTTTTCTTTCTGTAGTCCATCAAGGGTTTTGCCAAAAGCTGCTTTGAATATGCTGTAATGAAAAAATGGCCACTCTATCTCAGTACCAAAAATACAATTCTCAAGAGCTATGATGGAAGGTTCAAAGATCTTTTCCAAGAAATTTATGACAGGCATGTATATTGTACAAAATTTATTTGTAAAATGAGGCTTTGCATTTATGCTTTATTTAATAATGTTTGTTTTATTTTATTAGGGATTACAAAAGTAAATTTGAATCCCTTGGTATCTGGTATGAACATCGTCTTATTGATGATATGGTTGCTCAAGCTCTGAAATCCTCTGGAGGATTTGTATGGGCATGTAAAAATTATGATGGAGATGTACAATCTGATGTTGTCGCTCAAGGTAAATATTATTTTATGTATTTGTTGTAATATGTGTAAATGTATCAAATGTGTAAAGTGCGTTAATTTCTATGGGGAAACTTATGAAAAAAGTACGGAAAAACATTGATATTTATCAATATCTTAATATGTATCTTTAACTTTTTTTTGTGTAAAAGCTTAGCAAAAATCATTTTATGATAAAAAAATTATTTTTAACAAATTAATCATAAATGCAGAGTAATTAACTATTTTAAGTAATCTTTATCTCTCATATTTTAATACCTTTAAAACTTGTTTATTTTTTAAATATTTTACTTTAATTAAATATTAGTCAAATTTAAGGTACATTAGAAGAATAATATTAATAGATATAAGTTTCAGTGATAGTATAAGTACAGGATACAGTATAAGTACAGGATAGTACAGGATAGTTATATTAATAGATATAAGTTCTTTGATAACTGGAGCTATTACGCTCTCTCTGTATACCATTGCAAAGTAGATAAGATCACTGTTTAATCTATCTTATTTGTTATGAAAAATAAATTGATAAAGATTGTAAGGATAAAAGCTTCAGAAAAAAAGTTTAGTACAAACAGTTTGCAACTTTGTTTAATTATCGGCAATAGAAAATTCTTAATGAAATATTTTTTTGGTTAATAGATTAAATTGGATAAATATTTTAATAATTGTATAAAATGTTGAATTAGTTAAATGATGTTTTAAGCTAAATGAATTTTGTTTTTATAGGTTATGGCTCATTAGGTTTGATGACCAGTGTTCTAGTGTGCCCGGATGGCAAAACAATTGAATCTGAAGCTGCTCATGGTACTGTAACAAGGCATTTCAGGGAACATCAAAAGGTATTTTTCTAATTATTAAAAATATACTCTTTTCTGATTTTATAATTCTATACTTTATTATAAATGGTGAATAAATTTTTTATTAACATAATTGTAACAAAATAATCTGTGATTGCAGCTATCATGTATTATAGTGTAAATGTATAAATATAAAGAATATTTTTGTGGATTTTTCTTCCTTATTTTAAAAGGTAATTAAAAATTGTTTAAACTAGTGTATTTATCAATTTTGTTGTTTGATTATTTTTGTTTACATCGAATAAAATTTTTCTGTTTTGACAATTCATACTTTTTTTAACTTTAAAATTTTTTGTTTCAACAGTAGATTTAAAAATATTTTATTTTTACCCGATTGCTGTTTAAAAATTTGTTTTACAACCATTCATTTTAAATCGTTTTACAAATATAATTCTTTTTAAAAAGGATTTTTAACATTTCTTTTATAATTAAATTTTGTTATATTTTAATTTGCATTTTATTAGATTATTACTCATTTCTCTTTGACAATCTTTTTAAAATTTATATAAACTTCACTCATTTTAAATTAGTCCAATGCATTTACTGTATTATGTTAACTGTTAATAAGTTAATATTAAATTCTATGTTTAATTCCCCTTAGCTTTATAGTTTTTTAATTTTTAAATGCTTATTATAATTAAAAAGCTGTAAAAACTGGATTTGTGGAACTCTCAGACGTTAATGATATTTCTTTGGCTTTTGCCAATTGTCGAAATATTCCTGCATTTAGTGTTACACAAATATTTCTGTGTTAAACCTCGAAAGAGAAAAATCGTCTATATTTGAATCCCTTTAGGAAGACTTGTTCTTGTGAATGGATACAATAGTTTTTAAATTTTATATACAGTCAAACATGGTGAACATGGTTTATAGTGAACTCTCGGATATAGTGAAAGAATGTTCGCTCCCGTTCCTTGCTATACACATATAATATTATTTTTTGTGAATTTAGTGAACCAAAAAAAGAGAGGAAATTGGTTATTGTGAACTTTTTTCTGTCTTCAACTGATTTTTTTTCCTTAATTTTTTGGTAATTTTGAAATCTCTACATAAGATACATATACCTATTTTTAAAGTGGAATGTAGCCATAAGCATTTTTTCTTGTTTGCTTCTTCTATCTCAGTTTCTCATCCTTAAATAAAGGCCATCCCTAAATTTTTTGTATGCAAGATGAAGAGTAATAAAAAATAAAAATTGACACATTTTTTGTTACAACATATTGTTTTTTAATCATTTTTGTATTTTTTTTTTGTCGGTCATTTATTTTAATAGTGTGTAATAAAAGAGAGCAGTTCGGAAAAATGAGTTAAAATTGTTTGTAGTACGGATATAGTGAACTCCCGGTTATAGTGAACCAAAATTTCGGTCCCTTGAAGGTTCACTATAGCGGGGTTTGACTGTATTAAAAAGTTTTGAGTGGTACAAAAAATTTAACTCTATACAAAATAAAGATGAGATGCAAGACTAGCAAATGATTAACCTTTATTCTGAAGTTTCCCCAAGAAACAATTTACATTTCACTCATAATTGCCAAAATTAATTCAATTCTAAAGATAATATGTTTTGAGTAATTTAATTTGTTTAGGCTAAAAGCCTGAAGTTGATAGTATTATAGTATCATATCTGTGTGTATTGTGTTCATTACATGCTTGTCTGCGTGTCAGTACTTGTGTCATGTGCTGTGATACCACCATTTTGAAAACAACGTAATACTTATTTATTTTACCTTTGTATTTTAGGGTAACCCTACAAGTACAAATCCTATTGCTAGTATATTTGCATGGACTAGAGGTTTAGAACACAGAGCAAAGCTGGATGGCAATCAAGATTTAAAAAAGTAAGATTGATTTTTTTCTTATCAGAACAATATAAAGTGAAATTCCCAAAAGAAATAAATGTCTGGGATCCTTAGTGTTAAACCAGTTATCAGGGATACTAGTTAAGTGTTAAGTTAAGGTTGCTAGTCGCAAACCATGGATTTTTTAATCTTTTTTTTAATTACTATAGTTTTTACCTAAAAAAACCCATAAAAAAGAAATAAAACTTTAAGAAATAATCAAATATTGTAGTAATTTTTTATTGCAATTTATTGATTTATGATTGCAATCTAAAAAAAATAGTATTAATATCCAGGCTATTTAAAATATCATATTCATAGTTAAATAAGTGAAAACTAAAAAACAGCTGTTGGAATTTTTTTCCCCCGAAATTCTTAAGAAAGGGAAATTGTAGTTTCGTTCAATATTTCATGTTAGTTAGAACATACTATAACCTAAGTATATACAATAAAGAGCTTTTAAGATATCATAGCATTATTTTAATAATACTGTTAATTAAAAAAGTGAGATACTAAACATTAAAGTACTACATATAAAATATTGAATTCACGATTATAAATAGCATTCTAATATGAATACTCAATCTGATTCTCAAATAATATATATAGATTGTTAAATTTTGTATTAAAACATATTTTAAAAAATGATGTAAAATTTTTTTTACTTTCTGGTATTGTAAAATATAATTTGTTTAAATTAAATCTCTTCTTATGGTATGTATTGTAAACAATTGTATTAGCTATTTTTAGTTTCTTACATTTTCCTCTGTTTCTTAGAATAAATTCTTCCATGTTTTTCGTCTACAAACTTATCATGGTTTATCTGGAATGCTATTTCTAAGTTGTTAACCATGAATGAAATTCAGGACACTGGATATAATCCTTGTAATCTTTAATAGCCAATCTCTCTGTTGATTTTAAGTAACAGTTCAATTTATTTTATTTTTTAGGTTTTGCAAGGTCCTTGAAAAAGCTTGTGTAGACACTGTTGATGCTGGTAAAATGACAAAAGATTTAGCTGGTTGTATTCATGGCCTGAAAAAGTAATCTTTTAAATTTTATTTTACCCCATTTTAATATATACTATACTTATGTTTATGACATTTAATGTTTTAAAATTGAAATATTTTACTGTTTAATTAACATTATTAATTTTATCTTTAGTCACCAAAAACAAAAATTAAGCAAATCTTAGGGGTTATCCAAAAATTATTTTTAATAAAGGATATGATTTCATTGTTAAAATTGCTATCATTGCAAATTTTGAGTAATTTATGGTTAAAATGTACATTTCTAGGTATTTAAAAAAATTTTTTTTTTCAGTTTGAACTAAATGTTATTATTTTAATTTATTAAATTTTAAATAAAATTGTATATAAAAAAGAACACTTCATCACATTAAGTTTTGACTATAGAAAAAAAGTAGTTTTATTATATTATTTTAATAAATAAATAAAAAATACATTACTGAAAATTTTTTAAAAACTTGTTTGAGATGTTGTGTGTTGTTAGTTAATTTCATTTTATGATTCTGAATTTTATACATTTCTTTTTTTTTAGTGTGAAAGAATCTGACTATTTGTATACCATGGATTTCTTAGAAGCTATTGCCCAAGAATTGGAGAAGCAGCTAAAACTATGAAGTTAACTCAATAAATAAATGTCAGTTTTCACGAAATGAGCTGGGAGCAAAGAATAAATTTGCACTAATCTAATGAATAATCAGTTGCACTGAATAAATAGAACAGATCACTTAATTCAAATCAGATATTTATTTTATTTTTAATGCAAAACTTAGAACTTATTTTGTAGTGATTATTTTACTATTCACTAAATTAGAAAATGTTTTCTTTTCTTTTTAAAAAACTCTAATCTGTTATTATCTTTATTGTGATATTATATTTTGAGCTTCTTTTTCACTTTTCTAAGAGTCTTATTTTAATATTTTTTTTCCCCTGTAAATTATTCAACAACGCTGTATATATTTGTCATTTAAAATCAAATCACACTTAGATCAAATTAGTTCTTGCAAAATTTTTCGTAAATCTTTTAAATTTTTTTATATACAGTAGAATTAGTGATGAAATCTTATATTTAATGGTAGAATTTTTGAATTGTTTTTAATTTAGTGGGTTAGTTTGGACATTACAGTCTTATGTATATTAATACTTTCTGTACCTGGTTTAAGGTTTATAATGAAGAAAGAGGCTCTTTTTGAATAGTAATTATGTGATGTTTTACTCGAAGTGTTTGAGTTGTGATAGATAAGTAAATTATCATGCATTGTTAAATTAATTAAATTTAGGTTGAATTATTCATTACTCATTTATTAGATGCTTTTAATAATTGAAATATTTTGAGGTTTGAAGTCTTTCAATAATTTCTTTTTGTTCTGTTACCAAAGTTTATATTCAAATTTATGGTAGTGAAGTCTATATAGTAAATTGTTTCACAAAAATATGTGTTTAAATAATATCAAATCAGTGATATTAATTATACTAGAAATTTCCTTCATTATAATTTGCCTTTAATAATCTGTTTTTATTATTCATTTTATTTATTGCTGTAATTTTTTTAACAGAAGGACAAAGTGTAAAATGTATTCTTTTCATTGCTCCATATTTTTTCAAAAAATATAAAACATTTTCTTTTTATCTTGAGTTTTTGTTTCATTTACAAAACACACAAACCAACTCTTTAAAACAGTGCTGCCATGGTGTTTAGAAAACCTTAAGTCCTTGAATTTTGTTGTAAAAAACTGGGGCCCTTTAAAGTTTTTTGATTTTTCTCGGAGTAATTTTCAAAATAATAATAAAAAAACGAAACACATGAATCACACATCAAAACTAGTATAATCAGGATTAAAGAATCAATTTTTGCGATTCTTATCAAAATAATTTATGAATCACCCATAGCGATTTGAATTTAAATTGCCTCTTGAATTATGAAACATGTTGCGCTTCAATTTGCAAGTCATACATAATTTGTGATCTTCAAGGCTTGCTTCACATTTAATATAATCTTGATTCACGTATAACAAATTGCGGTTACGCTTAGTGAATCATATTCATAAAGTTTAACAAATCACACTTTGACTTTAAGACTTTTAATTTATTTTAAAGAAAATAAATTTTGATAAATCTTAATTTGTTATCTATAAAATATTGTACTACAAAAGATTTTATTATGTTCAAAATACGTTACTGTTATTTTGAGGTAATACAAAGATATTGTATTATCAAAATTGAAACAGATATGTTAGTTAAATAGATACGTTTTAAATTTTTTTATCTAGTAATGTAAATTAAAGTTAATATAAATTAAAGTTAATATAAATTAAAGTTTGATTTAACTAATTAAAAAGAAGAGTTCATAATTTAATAACTTTGCAATTACATAAATTCAATTATTTATCATAATGCTTGTTTGATGTCATAATTATTTTTCTATTATTTCTAAGATGCTTCATCAAAGTTTTTATGAAAAGTTTTACTGGTGACAGTTTTTAAAGTTGGCTAGTATGCCAATGTTTTTTGATAGTCTGATCTAAACCAACAATGTATCTATCAAACTATTTACATTGATAGCTGTGCGCTGCCGATATTAAAAAATGTTACAATTGTTAAACAATGTAAAATTGATAAACTTAATATATGCTCTTTCTTTAACAACTAAGCGTTGTGCTTTAAAAATATATAATTTCTGCTTCAATGTAATTATAAAATCTGCTTGACATGCAGCATTCTAACTACTGAGTAGATCCTTGAATTTTTTTTGAAAATTGAGTGGGAACCCTTTTAAAGAGGGAAAAATTAGTGTGCATAACGACATAGAATTAGATTTAATTCCATCGAATTATTATTTTTTTAAATTATAAATTTTGATTTTTGTAAAGTTTTAGGTTAAATATAGGAATTTAAGTTTTGATGAAGTAAGAATATTCAAATGTATGCTTAATTTGTGCATTAATGTCACAATCTTTGAAAAATAATTTGTTTTGTGATGAATAATGGCTTTTTTTTAGTTTTCCATTTGTGGGGTTCTGCATTGGATTGCAGAATTTTTTTTTATTTCACTTGATGTTGCATGGATGAAAAATTTATTAAATTTTGGAATTAAAAAACTATGTTTAAACATAGTTTTTTAATTCCAAAACTTAATAAATTTTTCATTTATTTTTATAGTTAGTTTTCAGACAGAAACTATTTAGACTTTAAATTTAAAAAACTACCTATGCTAAAATATTCTAAAAGTGAGCAATAAAAGCAAACTACCAAAAAAAAAAAAAATTTGATCTAGCATTTTTGTAAAGAAGACTACAAACAATGGCTATGTTTACTTAACCCTAGTTAAGAAAATTCAATGCACTCTGAAACCTGTCATACATGTTGTGTAAAATGATTTTTACAAATCTATATCACAGTAAAAGGATTTCTCAAACATAAGTGCAGGATAAAATATTGGCTTCGGGAACTAAATTTGTAGTGCAACTACAGAATTTAGATTTGTTTTGTACTCCAAGAGTCCTAACTTATTGGAAACATTGCTTAATTCGAGAACTGAAAATTCAGACTATAGGAAATTCTAAAAGTGAAAAAAATGTTTGAATTTTTTTTCTAAATAATCAAAAGAAAAGCTGCATTTTCCAATTGAGTTCCATTACGATGCATTGGGATTTCAGTGAACAATTTTTTTCCAGCTTGGCAAAGGTGTTTGCATTTGAACATTTTCGTTTCTAGCTTTACATTGTTTTAAAGTTAGAAGCAAACCATGCATTTTAAATGTTCCTTAAATTATCTTCGAAAATATTAAGGAAAGCTTCTGCAAAACTCTATAAGGGTTCAATACATATCTATAGAAAAAGTGATAACAGAATTATTTCATTATTCAAATTTTTCTTGGAGAAATAAGATACCTTTATTTTAATATTAAAAAAATTAGATAAAAATCTTAATAGCTGAACATTGAGCTTTCTTTTTAAAATTAAGAGTGTTGGTTAAAAGAAACATTTTATATTTTAAGTAAAAGTAAATACCTATGAAATTTTTTTTCTTCCATTAAGGCATTTTTTAGTCCCAAATATGAAAAAAATAATTTAATTACCAGTGTTTTCATCATAGAAAAAAAATGGGTGAGAATTTCTCACCCTTTCTCAAAAACAGGGTGAGGTTTCAAAAAGTATGTAGTCTTCAAGTAGTAGTCAAAAAGTATGTAGTGAGATTTCTAAAAACTCTTGAAAAAAAAAATCATTTCTTTAATTATAATACATTTTTAACGTCTTCTATTTTTTTAAAGCATTGAATATTTTTGGTGCATCATCATAGAAGATTTTGCCTTTAAGGTATTTGTCCACCTTACACAAGTGCATAAAAAATTTGAACGTCTTACATGAAGAAACCTTACCTACGGTAAACACGTGGTTGCAAATAAATGTGTTCTGAAAGGAGTTCTGTTGTTCGAAAAGATTCTGAACAATACTGGTAAATAGGGAAGCTAGATAATGGGGCAGATGTTGAAAATAATGAAAGATCCAGGAAGAAAAGTGAAACGGATTTTATTCTAAATGGCNCAGTGTTTTCATCATAGAAAAAAAATGGGTGAGAATTTCTCACCCTTTCTCAAAAACAGGGTGAGGTTTCAAAAAGTTAAGTGAGATTTCTAAAAACTCTTGAAAAAAAAATCATTTCTTTAATTATAATACATTTTTAATGTCTACTATTTTTTAAAGCATTGTATATTTTTGGTGCATCATCATAGAAGATTTTGCCTTTAAGGTATTTGTCCATCTTACACAAGTGCATCAAAAATTTGAACATCTTACACGAAGAAACCTTATCTACGGTAAACACGTGGTTGCAAATAAATGTGTTCTGAAAAGGGTTCTGTTGTTCGAAAAGGTTCTGAACAATACTGGTAAATAGGGAAGCTAGATAATGGGGCAGGTGTTGAAAATAATGAAAGATCCAGGAAGAAAAGTGAAACGGATTTTATTCTAAATGGCATAATTCGAAGCTTTTTCCAAAATTCGCGAATTTTGAAATTGATTCATAGAATGCGCGAATTTCTCGCGGTAATCATTTTTTAATGCGAGAAAAGAAAAAAATATGCGAGATTCTTGCGCTGTAGTGAAAACATTGAATTACATAACAAATTTTAATACTTAGTGATGCAACCTTCACTGAAAAAGGATAAATAAAAAGAGATTTAAGGTAAAACCTTGACTAGGCGGACATCTTTTGGACTGAAAAAATTGTCCGCCTACCTGAGTTCTACTTTTTCAGGAAATATACACTAATAACTAAGTTTAACGCCATAAATTGTTTTTAGAATAATTGCATTGATATATAAATAATCTATAATTACTATTTGTATTCAGTTAAACTTTAAAATACATTTTTTCAATATAGCAAGAAAAAGCTTAATATACAGTAGGGAACCGATTTTCCGGACCATTGCTATTCCGGATAACTGATTTTTCCGGTTTTCTAAACCGCTACAAAAAGCCGTTTTTTTATTGTTAAACCCAACTAAAAAAAAATATTTGGAAATAATCTTAAAAAGAAGAAAAAACGAAGTAATACAGTAATGATTATTTCTAAAACGATGGTATGGTAAACATCTTTCAAAAAATAAAGAAAAATCCTAAAATCTCGCTTACCTCAAATTCTTTTTTTAAAAATGGCGGGAAAATTTATTGAATTTCGTTCCGGATAACAGGTTCTGTACTGTACATTCATAATTTTAGATATAACTACTGATAAATGAATGTTTTTCCGATTAACAAAGACATTCAAGTTAGTTGTATAATCTCAAACGCTTTTAGTCTTATATCACTTCCTCAATTTCTTCCTATTAGGTTTACACTCCTAACACTTTCCACCACTTGATAGGAAAAACCTTGTGATGCACAGAAAAAATAAAGCAATACATACCTGTAAGGCCCTATGAAGAGCTCTAATAATCACAATCATCTGTAAAGTGTCAAAACCATACAAGGCCCCCTTTTAAATAAAATAATTTTTTAAAATATTTTGTAGAAATTTTGAAGAAACTATTAAATATGTAAACTAAACTCAGCAGCGCGACAGCCCTTGCGGGCCAAGGCCTACTGTGCCCATCTCAGTTTTTTTTACCTTGGGCTCTGGGGTGCAGGGGCAGATGTTCCGGTCAGGTGGTTAGCCGAAAGCGGAAGCCCCAGTGTTTAGTTCCCAAGCATGCTTGGTACTCATTTATCAACCCACTGAAGGGATGAAAGGCTGAGTCAGCCTTGCCCGGCCCGATGATCGAACCAGGGACCTGTGGCCCGACAGCGCGAGGTGCTACCGCTCCGCCACCGGGCGTCATTAAATATGTAGTTTATAAATATATATAAAAGATTTTCCTGCAATTTTCTATAAAAAAAATCTCAGTGCTTTTTTAGGTCCATAAAAGTTGTATAAAACAGTTATTTAAAACATTTGCTTTGCACATATGCATCATTGATTTCCTAAATAATATTCAATAAATTGAGGTGACTTACACTAAACACTAGCTAAGCAATTATACCAGTAATGCTTAATTAACTGTTGTAAGAAGTACTAAGACAGCTTCAGATTGATAGATATCAACTGGCTAAGAAATAAAGCTGGATGGTGCACCACAGTGTTCAAATTCTGAGTCTCCTTGGCCATAATGAGCTACTGCAGGACACTTAACATACTAACAAAGGTAATGGGTGATTCATGCACTTGAAATTGATAAGAATCAGATTATCATTATATTATGTTGCTTACTCCAGTGTAAAGCTTTGATTAGAAATTAAGTTTATTTACTTTTCATAGCATAGGCAATTTACCATTTTGTTTTTTGGACAAGTAGGTACTTGGTTTTACTCATAATGCAAAGGATATAAAAATGCAAAAAAGTTGATAACTTATCACCTATTCTGTATAATTATTCATGTACATAAGGTCACAAATTAAGCAAAAACATTTAAATGATAAACGTATGCTAAACATGCACTGTAAAGCACATTAAATTTTACAATAATATAGGACGAAAAAAAAAATCAATGAATAAATATCACTTTATTAAAATTAATTTTATAAGAACTAAATAAAATACATATACGTGCAAAAAAATTATGCAACAGAATATTTTTCACTATTGGTACTTCTCTTCATTCATAGAGAACTTTTAAGAAAGCTTAGCAAGTTTTTGAGAATGTGATCAAAATATACACATAAACACTTAGTCCTTTTAACAGAATTAAGAGCATATAAAATATTGTCAAGTCAAGTATTTAACGACTAAAAACATGATGACACACGTCACAAACATTCCACCAAACAAAACATATTTATCTTGATAGGCGCGCTTCTCTATCAGCCTCATAACTGTGTTAGACATACCTAACGTATTTGCTATGTCTAAAATTTTCTTGTGAGCACCTTTTAAAGACACCTTTTGCTCGCGCAAGTTCTGCAAAACACTGGAACCAGATCCTAATAGCTCATCCATTCCTCTATGAGCATTCTGCAAACTTGAGTTATGCTGCAAGGAATGATCTATCATTATAGCCGTATTCTCTTCATTCGTAGAGAACTTTTTAGTAAGAAGTTCTTCTCTTTCACGAGCTTCCTGTTCCTGTACCATTCGTCTGTGAATGGCATTCTGTAAGGAGGTTTGATAATGGCGACAATCATATTTCAATTGATCAGCCTGAACCCTGGCTGACACCCGCCGATGTGGCAGCTCTTTATTGACTAATATATCTAATTTAGAACAATTATCATTGATAGTGGCTAAAAGGGATTGTATCTCTTGTTCAATTAAGTGACACTCATCTTGAGGACAGCGTTGAAGACGGCCGAAATGCCGGTGGACTTCTTCCATAAGGGCATGAGTTCTGTGATATAATATATCCATTTCGATATAAAATAAAACTTTTATCTAGAAAGTCAGAGGCAATAATTTAGGAATCACCAAATCATAAGATATTTCCGCATAATCTCATAAATAATATACTAAGAGCATAACCAATATGTCAACGTGTCAGTCAATAAAGTTTCATCGTAAATCAAAATATTAAAATTTTGTAAATTAATCAGCCTAGGTTACGTCAAATATTTTTTTAGGATTGTTGCCAACTCACATTTACAAAAGTAAAATTACTTAAATAAAAATATTTCTGGAAAATCTCCGAAAATTTCCCTTCGATGATGACGTCAGACAAAAGCAGCCAATAGTGTTCTAATATAGAGGGAATAATGGGAAAAACTGTCTGCTGGAGATAATGGGAAACACGGGTATACTTTTTTAAGCTCCGCACTTGATAAATATTAATCAATTAATTTAAATTTCAAACTGACTTTATAAATTAAAACTTTGGGTAACATAATTTTTTAAAAAGAAAATCGTATTATTTTAAGTCAGTAGATAAGATCTAAATAATTCAGCGAAAGCAATCAAAACAAACAGCAGCTCTGACGTCATAGGTTGCGTCATCCTGCTGAATTTTATGGCAGTTTTGCAGAGGTAAACAATCACACGCTGGTATGTTGTTAAATAAGGAACTTACGGTCAGATATAACAGTCGTTAATTTACTATGCAATCTATGGAAAATAAACATCGCGAGTATGGGGTGAAAGATAAGGTAAGAGGGAAGTCTACAGTTTTTTCATATTTGTTTATTTATTTGAATAATGGAACTGGGGGTCATGTGATATTGTTTTGATGTAAAGGTAAGCCTAATCTGAAATACCAGAAATTTGGAATATTGACTTATTTCAAAGGTTTTTACAGTATTTAATGATCATCAGAATTCCTTTCTATTAAATTTGAAGTTTTACATACTTTTGAAAAGCGATTTTAAAAGAGTGTTGCTAATGAACTAATACTCAGCTCTTTGTTTACAATACTTCCGAGAAGCTATCAACATTCTTCTAGAATCGAAAGAACAAACCAAATAAAGTGGTTTTCATAATAAAAATTATTCTTGTTCTTTGTATTCAGATATTTTTACAATAATTTTTCTGAAATGGAAATAAAAACAAATTTTATTTTTTAGTGAAGGTAAATGAAATTTGTTACCATTTCAAAATTCTTTCATATTATTAAAATAAAAAGGGTTGAAATTGTATAAATGAGTATCATTATAAACTTAATAAAAAAAAATCATTATTGTTGAATGCAAATCAATACTTAAAGATTATTCTTTTTTCAAATTATTAACACTACAATATTTTCATAATTTATATTTTTGCTTTACAGATTGTTTAAATCTACATAATCACTACTAAGTATTTGCTTTTATCTATTTAAATTTAAGAAATTTTAATCATTTTGAAATTATGACACTCCTAATTCTTTTATTTAGTTGAACATCATAATTGTATTCATCAAAAAAAAAAAACACACACACAAATAATTTTTTTAAATAATAAGAATTAAAGTCAATATTAAACGTAGGCATGATGTTAAATTTTCTTTTGTGAAATTTGATTTAAAAAAAAATTATTCTCTGTTCTGTGAGAAGTGATAAAGGTAGTAAACAAGAAAGCTTGCTATATATTACCAACTTAACTAAGATCTGCTGGTTTGTTCTTTTAGTATTGACTATAGATCAGCCCAGTTTACCATAACCTTGCTGCGAATCTGTCAACTATGCCTAATGTAAAATGGTTGTTTAATTTCACTATTAGTTCTTACTAGATACAGAATAGTAATGGTATCCATTAAGGATATTTCATATCAAACATGATTTTATTCAGTGAGGTATGGATCACATAACTTAAATGTAAATAAAATTAATAAATTATGTAATTTTAGTTAAAGGAATTTTTTTTTTTTTTTTGCAAGTTTGATAGATATTAGAATTTGTACTTCTCTAATTTATAGTTTAATCTCCTCTGTATAGAATCTTGTCTATTTATTACATTCATAAAACAGAAAGATAATTCCCCTCCCACATTTTTCAATTTGCACCATAGGATTTTATTTAAAAAAATGGTGCAATTAATGTAAAATGGTGTAATTTAGTAGGAAGTTAAAACATAGAAGGAAGCTAGTCTGCTAAGTATAAAATCATTAAGGTAAAAATTTATCAATCCTACTTTTAGAATGTTAAAATACTAAACAGAATATAAGAAAGTAATCTGCTATTTGAAAACAATGCATTAGTCGGAATTATAATTTGATAATGATATTGACATTCTGTAAATAAATGGAAAAATATGGCAACTTAGCCAGAAGCCACAGTTTGATTTTTTTTCCTCCAGTGTTGCGTATACTTTTTAAAAAATTTTAATTCTTAAAAAAGAATAGTAGCAAAAAATGTAATTTTGTCTTGAAGTACAATATAGCAAAATGTTGTTTTCTCTCGAAGTGCAATAAAAAAAATGGTACCTTTCCATTTGTAGGCCATTAAGTTGTCAATCTAAAGTCACTGGGTGTAAATAATTCAACTGTTTTTATTAAAGTCTGGCTAATTTTTTTAGGAAACCAGCATAATGGAAGTGTTTATAAAAAAAAGCGAAAAACATTTTGTACTTTGTGCACACAAATTAATTTAAAGTTGTTTAATTCAAATAACTATTTTAATCTAACAGTTACTGTGAAGTATTTTTTTCTTTAATGCTTTATTGGTTGGCATTTATCCACTTTTGAAGTTGTGTAATAGAATTGCAAAACTATTTGTTACCTGATTTATTATTTGTGTTTAAAAAAAAAATCGACATTTGAAGACCTGTCGTTTCAAGACATAAAAATTGCCATTTGAAAGAAAGAATCGTTTTTAAACACTTCTTACCTTGTCAACAATATACCAATTTCAAAATTTAAACCTAAATGACAATTTGTAAAATAAACTTAATCTCGCTGCTTGAACAATATGCTAATACTGCAGTGTTTTCATCATAGAAAAAAAATGGGTGAGAATTTCTCACCCTTTCTCAAAAACAGTGTGAGATTTCAAAAAGTTAAGTGAAATTTTATAAAAACTAAAAAAAAAAAAACACGAAAACTCTTGAAAAAAAAATAATTTCTTTAATTATAATACATTTTTAACATCTATTTTTTAAAGCATTGAATATTTTTGGTGCATCATCATAGAAGATTTTGCCTTTACAAGGTATTTGTCCATCTTGCATTAGCACATAAAAAATTTGAACGTCTTAGATGAAGAAACCTTACCTACGGTAAACACGTGGTTACAAAGAAATGTGTTCTGAAAGGGGTTCCGTGGTTGTGTTTTGTTGTTCGAAAAGGTTCTGAGCAATACTGGTAAATAGGGAAGCTAGATAACGGGGCAGATGTTGAAAATAATGAAAGATCTGGGAAGAAAAGTGAAACGGATTTTATTCTAAATGGCGTAATTCGAAGCATTTTCCAAAATGCGAGGAATTCGCGAATTTCTCGCGGTAATAATTTTTTAATGCGAGAAAAGAAACAAATATGCGAGATTCTCGCGCTGTAGTGAAAACACTGTACTGACAGCTATGATGTTGCAGAGATTGCAGCAAGAACAAACTGTAATAAACATGTAAAAAGAGGCCAAAATGTGAATTCTTTCTAAATTTAGCAATCATGTACCTTTTTAAACCATACCTTTACAAATAACTAAAACAAATTATCACTTCTAACTCTCCAGAATTTCTTTATCTTAAGAAATACAGCATTATATAGTTACAAAATTATCTGTTTGAAAATATCGCCTTGCAGAATAAGCAACTGTATACTTTCTAACTGGAAGCAGAACAGGTTGAGAGCTCGAGATTGTTGTTGTTTTTGTTTATATTAAACACCATCCATAAGGTTTTTATATGCTCCCTCATTTAAAACAAATAAGTAATGCTTTCATTTTTTATAAAATTTTAATTGGATTTCATCTTGGTTAACCCATAAATTTACCGAAAATTGCACATATTCCCTAAATATTATAGGCAATTCCAATGAATAAATGGGGTAGAAACCCAGTGCAAAAAGTGTGTACTGAATTTTTTTATTAATTAGAACTCTATCAACTATTTAGGTATGATCACTAGTTTAATCCTCTTGAGGTAAAATTATTAATTTTGCATTAAAATATAACTCAAAGGTTTCAGAGTAAAATATATTACTTTTCTCCTATAAAATAATGGTTTTTAAAATGTTATAAATAGAATTATTTTATATTTAAATAAAAATTTCAAGAATGTTTACAAAAGCCACAATTTATTAAACAGATAGAAAAGGCTAACTCTAATTAAAACAAACAGTGATTAAGAGAACTAGAGGAAATCTTTACAACTGCTTCTTTATCACATACCCTTTTTACAGAATGAAAATATAAATACTTTATCTGTCCACCATTCTACTACACCTAAGGAATGTTGAACTAATTTCACACAGGTTGAAAAATAGCACATTGTGTAGATGTCTAAAAAAAAAAAATATTAATCCTTTACCACACTGCAGGAAAGAATTAAATTATTTAATCACAGGTAGCTTGGAGAAAATTATTAGTTGTTTTTGCGTCAAAATAATCTCTTTTGTACCACATAAAATACACAAGCAAAAAAAAATATTGTGGCTAGTATAATCAAAACCCGATCTGTCACTTCTCTTCGACCATATTTCTGCAGAAGACTTTTTGACTGGTGAATAAAATTTCCCATGGTTTTAAATTCTTCACCAGTTTCTTGCACTATAGATGAGGAATTGACCAGCGTGTGCAAAGCTTCTTCACTTTGTTTTACTTGGTTAGCCATCATGTTGCTGATAGCCATTAAATTATCAGTGATAGAAGACGATTGTTTTGCTAAACTTTCTTTGTCCGCTCTAGTACGTTTTCTAGGTTCCGATCTTTCAAACAGTTCTTCTTTATTTTGTTTATCGATGAGAGCGAGGCAGGATAAATTTGCTTTTCTCAACGCAAATTGATTAGCGGCGTATAATTTATGATATTTTTCAACCTCTTTTAATAAATTATGCTTGTCTGTATCCTTATCTTGTTCGCGTGCTAAGTTTTCAAGTTCCTCGATAGAATTCCTCATAGATTTCAGTTGTTCTGAAATTTCTTTATTTAGAGTATTCAATATTTCAACAGATCCTGTGCATTCACGTATGTCTTGTATCAAAGCTTTTGCCTGTAAATCTGATTTAACGATGTCTTGTTGTATTATCCGCACTGTTGTTTCATCGTATGAGTGATCATTCGGATTAGCGTTAGTTTTAAACATCTTTTATAATTTTCTGACAAAATAAACCCCTGAGAGACGAGGAAATTAATAGCGTTATTTACGTTTGACGTAGCTATCAAAAGAAACAAGCACGTTCGTCGTAACCCGTAATTTCATAATCGTTGCCAACTTTTCATGACAAATAACTAGTTTCGTTATTAATTTTTTAAACTTTTTGTAGTTATTTTCATCGAATAAAGTAACTAAAATATTTATATTTTTCTATTTAATTATTTTTTTAACAGATCTATTGTTTTTTTTTCATGACCTTAATACTTTTGTTTTTAAATATTACAGTAAATAGACCGTTAAATCGAGTTTCACTTTTTTATTTATAAAAATGTTTCATCTCTCATTCATTATCAGTTATTATCATATGTTTTTTTACTTTTATTCTTTTAATGAGGGTTAAATTGGGCGAGTTCATTATTGCATAGCAACAAGGGGTGTGCTCGCATATGGAAGCGTCCTTTCTACCGAAATGCGTAGTTGAGTTGGTTTTCTCCGTCGTGACTTCGTGCGCGAGAAAAAGACCGGTGGGCTTTGAGTACGTCTTTTAAAATTTTTTTTATATATGATTATTGTATTTGTTTAAATATTTTGAAATACCTGTTTAAATGTTACTATTTTATATTTTTTAACAAAGGATTTAAATTTGTTTATAATTCATATTTCTTTAGTTTTTAATATGAAATGTTTTTATCACGTAACTAAGTCAAGATAGTTTTTCATTTAATTTTGCGTCTTATCTTGTGATATATATATATCTATATTTTTCTTATTAAAAATTTTATATTCCGATCTTGGACATTGACACTTTTTTTTGTAAAATATTTAAAGAATAGTAAATACAATGCATTAGTTTTTTTTTTTAGCTTTCCACTTTTTAAAAGTATAATTTACACTGAAAAGCTTTTTACCCATAAACTGTGGATAATTAAAAGAAAAGCTACACAATGTAACCATATTTATTGCTTTCTGTTCATTTGTGTTTTGACAAAGTTATTTTGAATATGCATTTAAGATTTTGTTTATTATAAATTTTTGTTTTAATTCTGTCAAAGTCTGTTTATCTGTAACATTTTATATAGAAAATATCAAAAGTAGATTAATTATTATCAATAGAAGCTCTATAATTGATTGTTAAGGGGTGATTGTTAAGCATGGTGGTTTCAATATCTATCCAAAAATGTCTGATACTTGATTTCATTATTTTTATATTACTCAATTTATTCTTTTTTTTCAAACCTGTTATGCATATGATTTGTTGTTTAATGAAGTGTTTTATATTTTAAAAGTATATTATGATTTGTATCTGCTATTTGAAATAAAAAGGAAGAAAAAAAAATACAGAAAAATTTTGACATCTCTTTTTTTTAGTAAAAAGGAAATGATTTTTCTGACTCTTGGAAAATAGTTTAATTGATTATGTAAAAATTTGTAAACAATATAAGGGCAAACAAAATTTTTAAATTGTTCAGGAGATCATTTTTTAAGTGCGTTTTTGTTGGAAAACGCAACAATTAAAATGCAGGCATAGTGCTGTTATATAGTAAAAGTTTCAGAAACTTGTAGCATTTTAATCTGGAAACGATATCAAGGAACAGTTTGATGTAAAACTGACTCAAATGATTTATCATTATATTGCTTCAAGCATTTAAAGTTAATTTTTTAAAACTTTTATCCAATTGCATTTGCCATGTTAAATAATTTCATATATGAGTGAGTATAAAATAACTTTTCTATTGACTTTCTTTTTGCTATCCTGGAAATGATACTAATATTTAAATTATTTTTAATTAGGTGAGTCCAGAAAAGGAGGAAAGGAAAGAAGTGAGAAAAGGGCGGAAGCCAGGAAGAAAATCTTCAAAAATCGATATGAAAGCCAAATTGGAAAGAAGTCGTCAAAGTGCTCGAGAATGCAGAGCTCGAAAGAAGATTCGTTATCAGTACCTTGACGAGTTGGTGGCTGACAGAGAAAGGGCTGTATTACAGCTCAGAAAAGAGTTAGAAATGGTAAATATATATTTCTTATTATGTTTGTGTGTATTATTATGTTTCTGATTCATTTTTTTAATAATTGTTTTAACAATATGCTGTGTATCAAAATGAATTATTACTTTGATTATTTATCTAATAATTTTTTTAATATGTATTTAACCTATGTTTTGATATAATTTTGTATTAATAATTAATGTAGTTTAATGCTATGATATCATTGCTATTTCTTTCTCCTTAAGTTTAAAACATATGTAAAAATTTAATGTTTAAAAATGTTATTGCTGTGTGTGCGAAATGTCCTGCTGAAAAAAATCTGATTGTCTCAAGGCTCTAAATTGACTGTGGCCGCTGCCCAGAGACCACTTAAGTCTGACTTGTACTACTACAAAATAATGACCAGGTATTCTCAATCAAATGTAAAGAGTACTGCATAATTCCTTTTTTTTTTAATGTTTTAGTTTGCGTTTTTGTCTTAAAATCTTCGAACTTTTTTTAAATCATAATTTTGAAAATTATGTTTTGTCCGTAACTTTTAATCTTATTTCACTCTAGCGACTGTTCTTTCGGGTTCAATATTACTTATTTATTTTAGTTTTTTTTAAAAAGGATTAAGTTACAAAGAATATACTTTATTTTTTTTTTGTAATGGAGATACTTTTTTGGTATATTTTATTTTAAAAGAATGTTAAATTATAAGCGGGTTTTTTAGAAAACAATGATATTTTTAATTAAATTATTGAATCGACATTGAGCATTTGAGGTAGGTAATAAATATTTTAGAAAGATATTAAATATTTTAGGATGCATAATTGATTAATGTCGAGACCTGCCAACTTTCAACAATGTTTGGGAAAGTTTCTTCTAGTGATAGCTAAATTTATACTTTAATGTATTATTCTTTCTTTAATAAATTTGATTGAAAGTTATTTTTTGCACCACTTCTTGTAAATGATTCGAAAGCTTATGTAAAAAGCCACTTTGTTTTAACCCTGTCTTGGTGAGGTTTTTAAAATGTTCGCAAATTTACCAAAAATACTGTAAGCATTAGTTTTTAATTATCGACCACTCAATAAAGTATTTTGTAAAAATTGTTGTAGTTGGCAACCCTGCATGTCTCTTTATAAATTAGTCAGGTAGTTAATAATTCAGTTTCCCATCTCAGAAGAATAAAATTTTATCTGTTTTAAGCAGCAGTTGTTTCATTTAGAATTTATATAAACTTCATGCAGGGAACCTTCTTAGTAATGCACTATATTTTAGTTAGTATTAAAAAAAAAATCTCCCTTGCACAAATGCATTTTGATAGAGAATAAACAGGTTATGCAAAAAAATTTTTTTAATAATTTTTCATCTGTATATATTTCTCTTTATTGGTTGTATGTCGAAAATGTTATAAAAAAAATTCTAGTTTCTTTCTTGTTGCTTATAATATTCCTAAAATCATGACAAATTATCTTATCAATATTTTTGTTAAATTGTAACAGCTTTAATGATTGAATATCATGATTTGTTTTAAAAAGTTGAATTTTTATTTTAGAATCAAAATTAATAATGTATTTGTAACAGGGAATACAATGTATCATCTATAATTAATTTTTTTCTACTTTGGAAAGTATATCGCCAATGTCATTGCTAAACAACATTATTAACTAAAATTTTTATATTTACATCAAAATCAGTTTTTTTTTTTTCAATTTATCTATTTATAGTTTTGCCATCAAAATATCCTGATTGTTATTGATTTAAATGCTATTTAAAAATTAATTTGTTAAAGAACAACTCTCGAAATGGATTGTATTTTTGGAACATTCTTGTTAAGCTAAAACAATTTACTTTTATGTTTAAGGTATACATTTGTTGTATTTTAGACTTAGTGGTTGGCCAGCTCCGAGGAGCAAGGCACATCGACTAGAGGTCTATTGTACCCAATCTCTGGATCATAATTAGAGTGAAAAATATCTTAAATGGTAGATGGATCTCAGGTTAGAGTCCCTTCGTTAGACTAACCATAGGAGGTTTTCGTGGATTTCCTCTTCACATAGCTCAAACGTGGGTTAGTTCCATAAAAAAGTCCTCCACAAAGCAAATTTCTCCCAATACTTGATCCAGCAGTTCCCTTGTCTTCTAGATTGGGTTCAAAATTACAAAGCTACGGAGTTGAACATCTGAAGTAGAACCCAAAATTGGGTGGGTTAATAAAATCTCCGTTATTTTTCCAATGCTAGCAAATATGGAGTAGTGCAAAATCTCTCCATTTAAATTTAAAATTAAAAAAAAAAAACTTTTTTATTTCTCTGTCTAATGAAAAAATCCTGTGACTGTCACTTTAGCTACATCGTTTATTTATGCATGTATATGTTCTTATTACAGTATACCCAATGGGCGAGAGCTTTAGATGAAGGCAGCATTCCTGAAGGAGCTCTCAAGCTTTTAGAAGAAGAAAAACGAAAAGATAGAAATCGTTTGAGAGACAAAGACACTAACCGCCAATCCTAATTTCTAAAGTGTATCATTTCTTTCAATCTCAAAACTAAATTGAGCTAGTTGGAGTATATTAATCTAAATTCATATCTTTTGGTCAATAGATTTAAAAAATATGTTTTTCAAGATTCTGTTAAAATTTCAGGGGCCATTTTATGCTTATCAGATAGTTTACACAATTTTTTATCATTAAAGCAAACCCTTCTCAAAATGTTTCATTGTAAAAATGGATCTTTTCCTAAATATTTAATTGTAATGACACAATATTTTTAATGAAAAAAAAATCACAACATGATTTTTAGAAATCGAGTTATTGACATTTTCATAATAGAATTCCTTGAATGCCTTTGTATTTAACCCAAAAACAGGACCCTTGCACCAATTATCTGGTTATTATAAATTCACTAAATTATTAGATTTTTTACAAATTTAGCGAAATGGGTCGGTTCTCAAATAGTCTTGCCAGAACACTGGTTTTTGTGATTTTTACAAAAACAGGACTTACACAAAAATACTGGAATGACCCCTGAACTTTATATTATTACATATGATTCTTTATTTTGTAAGAGTTGCATTTATTATTTGTTAGGATTATTTGGCTTTGAATCTAAGCATGTAAAACTTAATTTGTATCTCAATATTTTTTTTTTCATATTGCAATTTAAATTTGTTATTTTATAAAATTTTTAAATTTTTTTTATTGGAACATATTCTGAATTTTTGTTTGTAAATATTCACATTATATTTATTTAGAAAACTTGCACTTTATTTACATTACATATTTTTATATCTTAGAAATTACTGACGATAAACTTAATTTGAAATATATTATTTTATATAAATGTGATTATTTTTATTGAGCATTGCAAATGTTAAAATTTTTTATCAGAAAGTTGATTGTTTTTTGTTAAAAATTTATCAAAGGAATATTTATATAACATTGGTTGTTTTTAAATTTTTTTAGAGGTGTATTGTTATTGTTGAAAGTATAGGTAATTAATAAGCCTATTTAGTGCTTTTTGAAATTCTTCATTTGTACAATATATCCATTTATATAACTTGTCAGGATCACCAGTTATAATTTTTTTTGTTTTGTTTGAAAATTAACAACTGTATTGATTCTGGTTGTGCAATATCAATTCATAGTTAATTTTATTGTCTGTTTTTAATTAAATTCATGTTTCTTTAAGATAAATAAAATAAAATTACAAACATTTAGTATTCTTTATTCAGTATAATGTTAAGACACAAATGCCATAAATTTTAGTTAACAATGCAGTTGCTTGTTTTCTGGTAATATTTGCGATTGCGTAAAATTTTGCTGCTAAATTAGCTCTCAAATCTATTATTTTATTACATATGCCCATTTAAATTGTTTTACATTTACTATGAACCTATCTAATTTGTAAACAATATGAATTCCCAAATTTAGTGCTCATTTTTTACTAAGGAAATTGCACTCTCTGTTTGAAGGGAGTTTTAATTTAAAAATATTGTACCAAATCTGAGCAACTGCATACATTAGTTGTGTGGTATGCTTATTCACACTTTTTCAAATTATTTTACAATTTCTTATAAAAATGAATCTTGAATTTAAAACTTACAATCTTGAATTTAAAACTATAGAACTGTGTAAAGTTATAAAAAATTTAACTTGAATTTTTTCCTAAATTATAAAAATATGTTTCAAATATGTAAGGATTTTACAAGCAAAAGGAAGAATTAAACTTCACTTGATTGTACAACATCACAAATGAGAATTACTTTAAAGAAAATTACTTTAATGAGAAAGAAAATTACTTTAATGAGAATGAGAATTACTTTAAAGAAACTTTTCTTTAAATTAAAATTTTTTAGAAACAGAAAACTCAATTTCCTTACTAAAATTTGAAATTGAGTAAAATTTTTACCCCCAAAGTAGATTATTTTTAATTTATTTGTAGTTGCTTTACAAGGAGAGATATTTTTTTAAAATTCAGCTTGAATTAAGTTGAATTTAGATTATTGAAACAAAACTGACATAAAAAAACATTTCAAGTTAATAACTGATTATTGATAAGTCAAAAGTAGAAATAATTAATTTCATAATTATTTATGTCAATAGTCAAGATTAGTTCAATCAACTTATTTGACTGCTTACATGTAAAATCATAGTAATTTCAATATCAATCACTTGAAAAGAGATAATTTGAAAACCAAATTATTTTCTGCCTAAATCTTTTTGTTTTGTTTTCACCTCTTACATTAGCGGTATTCTTATTTGTCTTCATAAAAATATTCAAATAAGACAATGTTATTTTTTTTTCAACTTATATCATTTAAATGTTTTTTATGAAGAGAAAAAGATTTAAATAGATTTCACTAAATTTTTAATGTTACCTAATGCAATAAGCAATTTTTTTTTTAGCTTGTTACAATTTGTTTCAACTTTTAAATATTTTAATTTCTTAAGATATGTTGCGGGGGACACAATTTAAAGCTGTAATCTCTGCTTAATAAATTTCAAAGGCTTTCAATGAAAGAAATAAACAAAATAGAACAATTTGTTCAACATTTGTGAACAATTAAAACAATTTGTTCTTTATAGTATATCTATAATTTTTTTTTCGGAGATAAGTTAGTTATAAAATAATGTTTTATTGGATTATAGTGAAATGATAGAAGTTGACGTTAATAATCATCTTGGCTAATGTTTAGAGGTTAGGTGTTGGCTATGGTAATATATTTCTCTTAATGGAATTGACAGAGGTTGATAATCTATTAAAAGAATGTTCAACCCTCTAAGTAAGTGTTAAGTAAAAATTTGTATTAAATCAATGAAATACTGTAATTAATAAAATAAACCAAAATAATAGTTTACTTTACGCATGCATGCTAGAGATGGTTAAATATTTTTTTAAAGAGTAGTTTTACTATTCTATAAATTGTTGAAAAGGTAACTTCGAATTTTTTTTGTTTTGTTTGCAAACTACTGCTGTTTTATAATATGAATATTATAATTAACTAATAAATAATATAAATCTGGGCAAAGTAAACACTCTGTAATTGAATAGTAACCAAAAAACACTTCAACTTTTAAAATTATTTTCTGCTAAGTTAGCATTACTGATTCATACAAGATTTTTTTTAAAAAAAATTTCTGTAATTTTGTCTCAATTGATATATTTTTGGTGAGATGAAAAGGAAGTCCCTTACAAGATAATCTGGAAAGAAAATACAAATGCTTATCTTTACACAATACTTCCACAAACATATGTAGTTATTGGCAGTGTTGGAAGAAATAGTAATTAGTTTCTAGAGTTTAAGGATGAATACAAGGGGTAACACCACCCTCTCTGCACTCACTAATGTATCATTATGCAGAGACTATTAATGCAGAGATGCCAACATAAATTTGATAACTTCATAACATAAGACAGTAAAATAAAAATTAGATGAAATTTTTTTAAAAGTGGAATTTTAACAATTTTCCATTGTTGGACACTGGCACTTGACAGGGGTCGTGTTCCAGAATATATATTCAGTCGAAACAAAATGGTATCCACTTAGAAGTCAATAAATATGTAAAATATATTAAAAGATTAAACTTTTTTTTTAAAGAATAAAATGATTACATGTTAATGAAATGTTCCCCAGTAATGATTTTTAAAAAAAAACAGGGTTGCCACTCAAATCTGTAAAAAAAAATTCTGTGTTTTCCCTGTACATATTTTACACAATATATTAAGAGGAAACAACAATTACTGTGCTCTTGTGTGAGCAATATTGGGCTAATTATTTTTATTAGTTTTAGTTGCTGGTAAAACAGCTGAACATACTTAAATAATGCTATAGTAAATTAAATAGTTTAGTATGGCTGAAATATCATGGTTAAATATCTAGATTACGCTCTGAGTGGTCACTATTTTTTAAAAGATAAAAATAAGAAACAATGAATAAGAATTCCCTGTAATTTCCCAGTTGGTAAAGAAAAAAAAAAATCAAAATTCCCTGCATTTTCTTTGTTATCTTAGATGATTTTTAAATTCCCTGTATTTTCCAGGTTTTCCCTATGGAGAGGCAACCCTGAAACATCTAGAGGAGCAAAATTCACGTATTATGATATTTTTACAAGATTGTTTGAGGATTTTTCAACTTTGTTAGCTCATCAAATTTCACCTCCTTATTTAATTTTATAATTGGGCTTTCACTTATTCGTATTTATTTGCACCTTAATCGAGGATTTGATTTTCCATTTAATTTTTCCAATATAACTTCTAAAAACAATATTCTAGAAGAATAGAATGGAATGATAGGCTTTATATCATTTTCATTTGTTTTCAGAATCGATTGGAATTTTTGGTTCCATAGGCTCAAACTGATAAATATTTAATATCTTCCAAAACAAGGTCAGTGTTTGCTGTATCATTATGAATCTCTTAAACATGGTGCTAAGAGCAAGAAAAAATTAGCTAATAAGACAAATAAAAAACGGACACAATTTTCTTTAACTCTAACATTGTCAAATAACACGCGAGTGTTATTTGACAATGAGGGGACCATGTCAACCTTCATCTATGAAAAGGTACCCCATCATAGAATCAAGTTAACATGCCTTATATACTAGAATTTGAATTACATGTTTGTAGTGGTAGATATATATATACACTACAGCATGCAAATGTGTATTTTTTCTTTTTTACAATTTGGGATTGAGACTCTCTTATTTGTAGAAACTTCTTGATTAGTAAAAAACTATTCTTACTGCACATTTTTATCAGTGTTTTATCCAGATTTCTAAATATCATTAAGACAAACAGGATTCCGTAAAGAAGAAATAGTGTACAGAAAAATAAATCTTGGAAAAACCTTTGAAACTTGACTTTCCTTATATAAATTAAAGCTTAACAAGTAAGTTATAATTTAATTTGTTGTTTAGGGAGAGTGAGGTAAGTGAAATTTTTTTTATAACGGAGCTTAGATAAACTTCAGTATTTTTCATTAAACATATTTTTATATGACAAACTAATGGGCTTAAATAACAAAAAGTCTAGGAGCTACCTGTATTACCACAAAGCATATACAAGGGAAATGAAAAATCCAGTTTAAAGTCATGTTTTATAAACTTGATTGTTATTGTTATTCAAATTTATAAACTTAATTGTTATTTATTGATTTTTTTTCTAAAAATGACTGAAGTACTAATATGGCCTTTTATTTAATTAAAATGGTCAGGGGTATACCTTGAATATTGACAGCTTTAGTTGCAGCATAAAAAATATTAGATTGATTTTAAAATATAAAATAATTGACATAAAAATTACTAAGTATCCCAGATTGTAAATTAAACTAATGAATGAACTCTTAGGTTTACTTTCTTTTTAGCAGCCATCCATGGGCACCTAATCTTGTTCTTGAATATCTATCTATCAATTGTACAATAAATCAATGAAAACTTCAAAAATAAGAAATGATATCTTAGATAAGGCATGTTCAGAACTTTAAGACATTAATGCAAAATAAAATGTTTCTGCTTTGCCATAGTTTTATTTCTCAACAATGGAATAAACAAATGAAAAAAAAAAAAAATACAAATAATACTTACAAATGATAAAAGCATGTTTGTGAAATATAATCACAAGAAAATTTATAACAATCAACCTTGCTTAAAATTAACACATAGAATTTTCGTTTTTTCTGTATGAGTGAATAACATAAAGTTTAAAGATATTGGCAATTATTGCACCAATCATCTAAAAATAATTTATATTTTATAATTCACAAATTTTTCTATTCCAGGGATTTAATTCATTATCTTTAAAGACCATGTTTAAAATATCACTTCACCTTTTTTTCTGAAAGCAAACATCGCAGTTATTGCTTAAAGATCTTAAATTAAACAGCTCATTTTTTATTTATTTCCAAAGTGTAGAACTTTTTTAAAAAAAATTTAAATAAAAATTGTAGAAACTTATAAAATTATTTACCTATTAAGAACCTTAATGTTTTATGATCATTATTAATCTTTAGTGTTTTTTGATCAGATTAATGAAGAATAAGTTTAAACTTGTTTTGATTTGTATATAAGGTATTATTGGTCATTCATATATAAGGTAATTCAAATGACAAAACCCAATAAATTTTTATTTCCCAAAATATAAATTTGATATGAATTATAGTAAAACTAAACCAAACCAATTATAGTAAAAGTTCCAAAATCCAAATTTTTTTATTACTATTTATCACTACTTGGGTGGTGCTTAAGAGCTTAAGCAATGGTAGGTAGTAAGTAGGGGAGGACACATTGAACATTTATAAGCTGCATTAAAAAATCTTTGAACCATTCTCTCTTAACTAGTATGTAGATATTGTATGTTCAATTTATACTTCATTAAATACAAATTAAATAAATTAGTTTGTTTGCTTAATCTTGTAAATTTAAAACCCTCTCCAATTCTTTTTATAAATCAATATAGTAATTATATTAATTTAATGGAAAATTAAAAATGAAGTGAAATTTTTGAATTGATTTAACGCAACAATCCCTCCCTACCAATTGCAGAACTGTGTAAGACTTAAATAAATACTTAAAAATTGTAAATAGCTTGACTATTGAGAAGAAATAATTTTTTCTTAAATTTAAAGAAGACATGCATTATTTTGTAAAAGAAGTAAAAGGAAAGGAATATTGTATGGTATTCCAGTGTTTTTACTATACATTCGATGCATTTTGATATGGGGATGAAAAATAGGGAATTTGATAGCAAATGCCTGGAGAGGGCAGAAAAAAAAACTTAGTTAGCAAAAGAAAAATTAACCTGCTGTTTGAAAATAAACACAAATATGAGACATTGATAAACTCAAAAATTAGATTTTGCTAACTTAATCATTTAATTTGCACAAGGTAGTAATAAATGATTTTCTTTGTAATGATCAATCAAAGCAATAAATAACAGTTAAAGCAACAATAAAACTGAAATGGATATGAATACAATATGATTATGATAGGATAATCAGTTATAACAAGGTATATTAAAAAAATAACAATGGTAAATCAAACAGCCTAAAATGATAAGATATAGCTGGAATATAATTATTTTAAAGAGGCAGGGCTCTTGCTAAATTCATTGTCAAAATCTATAATGCAAGAGAACAAAAAAAAAGTAAGAGGTTTATTAGATAATGATATCACTTAGAAAAAAAAGGGTATTTTTATGAAAGATATTACAAGTACAGGAAATGGTAAAAAAGGTTATAGCAGTAAACAAAAAACACTGTTTTATCAAAATATTTTATAGAGAGATTAGAAAACATAGCTTTAAAAATTGTTACCCAATTAAACTAATTATTAAACTTGAACTGCAAATAGAAAAAAAAATAAAAAAATTCTATACACGACGATAGTAAAATTTTAGCAAATATTAGGTCATAAGAGTTGTTTTTGCTACCAAGTCGGCCGATTACATCTAAATTTTTTATGATTCCTTAAACGTGTTGCAGTTTTAAAACCTCGATTACAATCAACACATACAAATGGAGTTTCCTTGCTATGAGTGGCTACATGTTCATTTAGTTCAAACTTTACACAGAAGCTCTTAGAACACATATTACACTTATAAGGTTTATTTTTTTCATGTCTTAATAAATGTATTTTGTAAGTCTCTTTCCTGATAAAACTCCTATTACATATTTCACATTTGAAAGCTTTTTCAGGAAGATGCCAATTACGATGATTCATCAAAACTGCCTTGACGGTGAATCTTTCCCCGCATATATCACAAGCAAAAGGTTTTTCTCCAGTATGCAGGCGTTGATGTTTCTGAAGGCTTGCCTTAGAAAAGAAATTTTTGGAACAAACATCACAGTGAGCTGGTCTCTCACGAGTATGCTTTCGCATATGTACTTTTAAATAATATGCTTTGTAGAAACCTTTAGAGCAAATTGAACACACATGACTAAATTCTTCATTGTGCCTCTTTTCGTGGGATCTAAGATTATTCTTTGATGTGAATGCTTTATCGCACACAACACAAACAAAAGGTCGTTCTCCAAAATGCATTCTTCTATGATCTCGCAATTGACATTCATATTTATATGCTTTTTCACACTGATCACAAGGGTAAGGTTTTTCATCTAAGTCCAGAACTTCATCTTCTTTCTTTAAAGGCTTTGATGATATATCTATGAGATCCCCTTGTACGTCCCAGATTACACTTTGACTAGCTGATTGTTTTTCATCGGCGGAAACAAGATAGATTTGAGATGTACCATCATTGTTTACAATACGCGTTTCAACGATTTCTTGGGGCAGTTTTTTACCATCGTATATAAATTTAATTTGATCGATGTTTCCTGAGTCAGGCATTTCAACTTCACTCTCGTATTGCATATTTTCATCTGGAGTCTCCGAAAATGAATCATTCTCAGATAATGGGTCGTTTGTATCATAAACATAAGAAAGTTCATCAGATGACAGTTGATTTTCATACTTTTCTTCCCGAATACTATCATCGGAATCATTTGAATACTCAGTTAAACTATTAGGTAATATTCTTTTCGTGCATTTTGACTCTGAATTTGAGAATTTAACAATAACGGGAGGCATGTTTAATTTAAAAATGTAATTTCCTTGCTATTTGCTTACTTTCTACACACAACTCAAGCTGTCTATTTCTGCCTTAAGCAAGATATGTTTAAAAAATGAGGTTTAATTTTTTGTAACTTTGAATAGTTGATAACTGATTGAATTCAGAAAAGCTCAAAGCAAGTTGCTATTTAATTTATTACTGCCGAGTAAGGTTCTGACAAAAACAAAAATAAGCAGTTAAAAGCGTTCTAGTGTACAAAATAACAGAAAAAAAATTAAAAGCTAACTTTTTTAAAAAGTTATAATTAAGAAGTCTTATAAACTTTTCTCTGACATTATTGATTTCTTACATCATGGCACCTACAATTATTAAGCTTTCTAAACCTGATTTAGATGAAAGAAACACAGATGATACTTACGAATCAGTCTCCGAGGACATTTCTTTTTGTACTAAACTGGATAGTTTCGGAGAAGAGGAAGTATCTAGGCATTATCCTAAATATTATAATCAAGTGTTTAACTGTTATTTACAGAGTTCCGATGAAGAAGTAGATGACATAGAATCTACGGATAATTGCATTACACTTTTGAACTCATTGCCTAGAGAAATAGTTGAGACTTCTTACGAAGACAGTGACGGTAGCTCTAAAGTTATATATGTGCCTTCAACAAACCTTGTTATTGAATCTCCTGAAAAATTTGTTTCGCATACCAATTTTAAGCCAGTGACAAAAAGTGAATTTAAAAAAAGGAAAACACTATATAAGTGTGATTATTGCAATAAGGAATTTAAGTATGAGGGTCCGTTTCAGGATCATATACGTACACATCTCGGGGAAAGGCCTTTTGCCTGCGAGGTTTGCAACAAGACTTTTACTTCCCACTCTTATCTTCAAACTCATAGAAAAAGTCATAGTGATGTTTATGAACACATATGTCCAGAGTGCTCTAAAGGTTTCCACAAAAAATATTATTTACAAATTCATATGCGGAAACACACACGTGAAAGACCAGTCAAGTGTGAATATTGCTTTAAGGGATTTTATTCTTCTGGCAATCTTGCAAAGCATGTACGACAGCATACTGGAGAAAAGCCGTATAGTTGCGATGTATGTGGGGAGAGGTTTAGTACCATCACAGTAATGAAAAACCATCGTGATTGGCATTTTCCTGAGAATGCTTATAAATGTGAGATTTGCCATAAAAATTTTATCAGAAAAGAAACTTATAGGAAGCATTTACTCAGACATCAGGAAGATAAACCTTTTAAATGTGAATTATGTTCTAGAAGTTTTAGTGTTAAATTTGAATTAAAGGAACACATAGCTTCTCATAGTAAGGATCGACCATTTGCATGTGCAGAATGTAGGCGAACTTTTAAAACCTTATCTAATTTAAGGCGCCATGCTAAACTTCATACCTATCGACCTAAGTGGTAGCTTTGACATTGTAATTATCTTTATTAAAAAGTGTATTGTAACTTTCAATGGAGCCTTATTCATCAATTTTGATTATCTTGTAATATTTTATTTTGAAAATTTTCTAGAATTTTAATATTATTCGAATTGTAAAGTATAAATTGAATATTTATTTCTATATTATCTTATATCTAAATGTCTATTTGTATTTAACATTAGATTAAAATTTGGTTAAGCTGGACAATGAATTTTAAAGTAATTGTTTCAGTTGATATGAAAAATTTGATCAATCAATTTCTGTTTTAATTAAAAGGTATTTGTCTTATCTTACTTTATTTGTTTTTTCTTATGTATATTTTGTTTTTATTAACTTTTGCTCTAGTATAAAAAAAATGCCCATAAGTAATTGAGCAAGTGAAATATGCACTTTCATTGTAAACTAAAAATTAATGAAAAGGTAACATGTTTAAGTTTATCAGCATGATGAAAATAAACATAATATTTTGTTGAATTTCTTTTGGTTATGAAATTTTATTATTGAATAACCAGGGCCCAAGCTAAGGATTTCAAATTAGCTAAATATCAAAAGTATGAGCTGCATTTCAAAACTCTTAGTCAAAGGGCAATTTTAACAATTTCTTATGATTGATTTTTTAACATAGAAAACAGCAAACCAAAATACAAATCTGCTGTAAATTCAGTTATTTTATAAATGCAAAATGTAACAAAGAGTTACTTAGCAGTTGGAGAAAAGCAATAAATAAGAGAGAGGTTGAAAAATGTAGATGTTTCATCATCTTTGAGGGAAAGAAATAGGAAAATGTTCGGGTTAATTTTTGATAACATATTAGACTAAATAAGGATAAACTTTAGGCAACATTTTGTTATTGTCGCGAGAAAGCATATTTTCTACAAGAATATTTGGATGATAATTTATGGTAGTTTGTCTCATGCTTACATAATCTCTTTTGTTACTTACCTTATCTGAACTCAATATAATTCTAATTGGTTATACTTTTTAATGTAAATTATTATAATCAAAATCGAATAAATAATGTAAGACTTGTTCAGAAAAATTTCTGATATCTTTTTTTTTTCAAGATTGAGAGGAATGTATGTTTTTCTTTTCAGTGGAAAATATCATTAAAAGAAACGCAAATTTTTTCCGCAGAATTTATTATTTTCTCACATTTGAGGAGGTGTTGAATGCTTGGCAAGGGGCCTGCTTAACATAGTTTTTTATTTTTGTGCTATTAAATTCATCAAATATCTGAGTGAAAAATGTTTGAGGAGCTATGTCCTATTACTTTTGACACATTTATTTAAATAATTGCAATGTTACTTTTTGTGGTAACATTTAATTATTTATCATTGTAATTCTTTTCAATTATTTCTTTTGCATTTAAACAAAATTTACTTGTTTTAATTTGCCTTTCTGTTACTCATATTATTCTGAACTTAATTCAGTGTCATTTGAACAACAATAATAATAATTATTTGTATAGTTTTTTGCCAATTTTTTTGAGTCTGCCTTTGTGTGATTAATTTTTCTTGTTTATTATTGTAATAATTTATCATTATTCTATTACATTTATTAAAATAATTGCAATGTTACTTTTGTGATAACATTTAATTATTAATCATTGCAATTCTTTTCGATACACAAACATATGTATCATATACATGAACCTATGTATTCAATACATGAAGATATGTATTTTCATTACAAGAACATTTGTATCCATATCTTTCTTGCTGTTTTCTAAAGCAATACTTTTTTGTTATGGAAAATATCTTTTTAAGTTGTATTATTTTGCTCATTTCATTCATATATATATATTTTTCTCTTAAACTTGCTGACAAATAAAAAATCAATAAATGTGTGTATTTTCATTAATTCAATAATACAGTGAAACCTCTCAGTAGCAACCACTCTTCTTTCCACAGTTAAATGATCATTAATGGATGTTGGTGGTCCTTAGAGGTTACCTCCATTGACTTCAAAATTGTTATCAAAGGTACATGATTTTTCGCAAACAATTTTAATTTTTGTTAGTTTCATTTTCTTGGTGCGAAAAACCACTTCTTAAGTTTAGAAATGCCATATACTTAAGTTTATATTTAGTATTTTAGTCAAATATTTAAATTACATAATCATTTCAATAATTTTGTCTTTTATTTTTATTACTCTACATTTAAATTGAAAGTTTTATGTTAATTAAATGTGTTATGTTATGTATTTATATTAATTAATTGCAAGTTAAATATTCTTAAAGAATTACGATACATCAAATAAAAAAGAATAAATTTAAATAAGAAAAATCTGATTTTTCCAAACCTTTCTTAAGACATACAATCATAATCTACATTTTCAAATTATTCTGAAGAATGTTTATGGTGAATCTCTGCGGTTGATAAGATGCTTCCAAGTATAGTGCTGTTATCTTGAAACTTCCATTCCTACATGGAAACAATACTAAGATAGAGTTAGATCTAAAAATGTAATCTTTGGAAATAAATTGAAGACTATCGCTATATTTTTTACTCCTGTTAGCTAGGCAAAAGTAAACTCAGCTAAGAGTTTTTAATTTTTCGGGAATGTTATTTTTATTTTATGCGTGTTTTTCATTTTTAAATTGAATTCAGTGGTGCCTGGCTAACGAAAAAATATCATTAATTATTATGAATTTATTTTAACAGATAAGTTTTTTTTAAATTTTTTTTTTTTAACAACAGACGGAAAAAAAATTCTAGTTGATTACAGATTTAATGACCTATCTAAATATCTTTCCTTATAAAAATAATAATCAAATAAAGAATCCTTTTAATATTTAGAATAAGTTCAGGAAAATATGTCAAAGAAAATTTATGTACCAAAAAGGTGCTTGTCCTAAAATGTTTACAAAAATATTTTAACTATTGCATTTTTATTTAAAGTAAGAAAAAAGAAAAGTAAAGTTAAAAGTAGAAATAATTTCTGAGAATACTGCATATGCAATTTATAAGTATTTGATTTCAAAGAGGTCAAGTTTGAAAATATAAATAAAGTAAGATAATAGCGAGATAGATAAATTTGCAAAATCAAGGAAATAAATAAAACATGACCTGTGTTACTTGTTCTCTTGCTACACGCTAAGTCAGGGTGCCGATCACTGATGCCATCGACTTTCGCTCGGACAAGGAGAGACTGAAAGAAGGGCAGGGGCGAAGACTTCACAAAATCTTTTCGGTTCTTTTAGATTCATATTTCCCCTTTTTTTTCAATTCAATTTACAAAACATTTTTTATGACGATAAATAAATTTGAGAATGGTGTGAATAAAAAATAAAATATTTTGTGAAGTGTCCGTTTCTAAGTTAAAATATTTTGTGAAAGGTTCATTTTTACAAAAAAAATATTCCGTGAAGAGTCCCGTAACGGACCCAAATTTCTTCAAAACAGACCCCTAATTAAAGATATAGATTTCTATTTTAAAATTACTTTAATGCAGTTTATTTTTATAAATTTTTGGAAGGATATTGTATATATGTAACAAACGACAAGCTTCATGAAATTATTTATTTATAATGAAATACATAAAAGTACAATTATACAGATGAAGTCTATTTTGATAGATCACTACATCTACTTCTAAAAATCTTATCAGAGTAACTAAATTCAAAAAGTGAACAGTAACAATTAATTGGCAGAAAGAGTAAAGTAGGGGTGAACAACCTTTTTGAGTTAAGGGCCACTCGTACAGCAGGTTGACTAATGAAGGCCACACACACATATCAAGTCATGTTGGAGGCAAAAATGATAATTTTTATGTAAATGTTAGCACTTAATTTTTGTATTAAAAAAATTAGAATATTTGGAGGATAATTAAATACTTTTATTTACTAGAATTCGTTTAAAAAAAATTTCCCTTTAACCAATAATTGATTTAGCAAATATATATTATAGGAAAAATATAAATTCCAAAAAAAAAAAAAAAAAAAACTTTACTTTTCTGAAANAAAAAAAAAAAAAAAAAGCACATATTTTAATTAAAGAAAATTTATAGGATTTAAACCAAAAATTTAAACATAACCATTATAGTACAAGATTAGATTTTATATTTACTTAGTCAATGAAAACTGCAAAAATGAAGAGAGTTTAAAAGTGATTACTCAAACTCGAAAATTGCACATTGTAATACCGTATTAAAAATACTGTTTTTTAAAAACGATGTAGAATTTTGTAACAATAACCATTGAAAAGCGATTGAGAAACAAAATAGACTTACAACGGAATCGGTGCAAATAGAGTGCATCAAAAATTATAACTCAAATTATAGATTAAAAAATTTCTCGAATTTTATTTTTTAAGAAAAAAATAATTGCGTTCATAAGCTCTAGTGGGCCACAGGTTGTACATCCCTAGAGTTAAGTATACATTATCAATCTTAAGCTTTCATAAAAGAAAAAATTATTTTTTTATAAATTTAAATCTTAACAATCATTTTATATTATACATGAATAATGAGTACCATAACAAACTCTAATGAGAACATAGTGTAGTTACATCATCATTGCATAATATGTCACCAAGCTGGATTTAGACAAATATTAACCGCAATCAACTTTTTACAATTCCTTGCCTTACCACAATGGTCGATTACAAAGAGTTTTCTTGTGATACCTCAATTTTGTAAGTGTTTTAAAAGATTTAGTACAATCTTCACAAGCATAAGGTTTCTTGTCACTATGGGAGGCCATATGTTCACTTAGTTCAAACTTTACGACAAAACCTTTCGAGCATATGTGACACTTAAAAGGTTTATCCTTTTTATGCCTCAGCAAATGAACTTTATAACTCTCTTTTCTAATAAAAGCTTTAGAACACAATTCACACTCAATTCTATCTTCAGGAAAATGCCATGCACGATGATTTTTCATGACAGTCACAGAGCCAAACTTTTCATCACAGTAATCACACTTGTATGGCTTTTCCCCAGTATGCAAGCGCTTATGTTTGACGAGATTTCCTTGGGAATGGAATCTTTTGAAGCAAATGTCACACTGTACAGGTCTTTCTTTCGTATGTTTTCGCATGTGAATATTTAAAAAGTTTTTCTGCAGAAACCCTTTCGAGCATACAGTGCAAAAATGCTTGAAAACTTTGTTATGTCGTTTGGCGTGTGAGTCACGGTTGTTTTTGGATGTGAAACCTTTATTGCATACATCACAAATAAAAGGCCTCTCATTAGTGTGTGAGCGCTCATGATCCCGAAGCTGACATTCATATTGGTATCGTTTATCGCAATGTTTACACTCCCATCGTTTTTTATATTTTTGTCCACTTTTGCGCTTTTTAATAGGTTTCGAATCACTTTCTTCCCTATCCGAAGGAATAAAATACACACCCCCATCGTTATATAACTCCAATATTTGAGGTAGTTTACAATCAAAAGCTTGAGATGAATCATAACTTTCTTCATCAAACGTTTGTATAGTGGCTGATTCGTTAGCATCAATTTCATCATTTTCAGATTTCACATCATCATTTTCTTCATCGTATTGCGTTACGTACAATACATTACCGTCATCTGTGGTAATGGAAAAATTACCATAAAACTGTTGTTTACTGTCACCATCATCTTCATACTCATCATCAGCACTCATTTGATTTGTATCCGATTCAACGTAATCATCTTCACAATTTTCCTCGCATATTTCCGAATTCGATATCTTTATAATTATGGGACCCATGATTAACAAACTATACTACGATGAACCTTCTGATAAACTTTGTTATTAATACGACAAATAATTCGTTAATTAAAATTATTTCTCCTTGCTTATGCTGCTTTTTTTCACCATTTATAATTATTATCGATACGTTTTTGGTTGCCAATTTCTGCTAAGTTTCAACACAATTTTTTGAATTTCAAACAGTCAATGAAGTATAGATGGCGCAGCGCGAAATTCTCTAACGGTCACAGGTTCGTCAACCACTCCAAGTGAAGAGCCATTCTTACTGGATGAAATTTACTTACCACTGGTCGCCATCGAGGAAATATGGGAATCTGATTGGTGAAATATATTTTGCTGGAAAAAAAGATCACCACATAGGTTTTTTTTTTCTCTCGGTGGGGATCGGCAATCGTATGCAGTAGGAATGCTCCCTGAGAATGGTTAATTAAAGATCATTTAAACTGTACACGATAAGCAAAAATCCGATGACCCTCGAAGAAAAAAGAGAAATTGATTTATGAAATATATTTTCGCGTGAAAGACTCACCAATCAGATTTTCCTTATTCCCGGCAGTCATCGCAGATGCGTGAATTAGATGCAGTGTCAAAGATTCCTTAGTAGATGGAGTACTTTATTTACGTCACGGTAGAAGAAGCAGATACCTAAAAAAAAAAAGATTTTTATTTTTTATTGGCGATCGCAATGCTCGAATACGCCATCTGGGGCTGGGGAGAGACCGGTTTCATGCCTTTGGCTCTTTTCCTTTACCTCTCCTCCTCTTTTCTGTTGTATAGGAATGTACTACGATATTTTCCCTTTTCTTAATATTTTTCCTCTTTATTTAATAAAAATATTTTTTAAAATTTCCTTGATGCCTTTCTTTAGAACTATGTTTAATGCAGTTTTCAGTTCCAGATAATTTTCCAACTGAAAAGATTTTAATCTATATGAAAATCAAGAGAGAAACTAACGTACTTCCTTCCTCTATGACTCTCCACACGGGGAAAGCATGTGAAGTGTTGCCATAGGTAGAGAGTTCTTCTCTACGCCCCCTGCAGCCCATTTCGATCGCCAATACTTTGCTTTCTCGTTTTCCTTTCTTTTTATTCAACTAACTGTTTCTTAAGCTGATTCGAATGGAAAATGAGGACATTTTAACGTCAGAATGGCCGAATGTAATAACAGGGCAAATTGGATCATATACTTCCTCGTTGAAAGGCGACAGCCAAACCAGAAGGGGAAGCCTCGGTATCCAGACGGGAAAAGTCTCGAATAATTTAATAACTCTTGTTTTTTTCCATTTAGCAATCTAATGGAGTATTTTTTCTTGATCCGAGAACATTGCCTGCAGCTCTCTCCGGTCATGATATCGCTGTTAAACTTATTTCCTTTTTTTTATTAAATGTTAAATTTCATTATTAAATTATCGTCTTTTTTCTTCTCTTGCTNTACAAAATAGACACGCAATTATAGTCACTTAGTTGCCTATGCCTATATTGTAAACTTACGAGTATAAGGGTCCTATGTAGAAATATATAGGACCGTTACAGGCTTGAAATACAGGACCAATTTTGTATTTACATCTATTGAACTTGGAAAGACATAAAAATATTTTAACAATAAACATTCTATACCTAGTTTCGTCACAAATGATTCACAATACATACAAATATACCTATAACAGAGTTTTCCTTTTTGATAAGACATTTTCGTTTATTTCACAAGAATATATATTATACTACAAGAATAATAGGTATTTTTCTCTGACTTTATCTCTTTATATTAACATATTTAGCAAAGTATTTCCTCAGCAGGTAAGAGAATTCTGGGCAGTATTATATAGTTACGTTTTGTGAATCCTGTAAGTCATCTCCATAAAAAATGACAGTCTGGCTATTTTTCCCTTCAGAATCTGTCTGAAAATGAATAAAAAAAAAAGAAATCAAACGTTTAGCCTAATTACTATTCAAAAAGTCACATCTATTGAACCAAGATAAAAAAAAAGGGCATCAAGATGAATGTGGCAATAGATATATCAAATTACCACCGGAAAAAAGAAAAAGAAAAACTTAATATTTAAAAAAATCATTTGTAAAAATAAATAATTAGACACAATTGTATCATCTATTTGATCTGTTAAGATTTCATTCATAAACGTAAAATTTTAACCTTCAATACATTAGTTTCAAAATCAAATGCAACTAAAAGAATAACTTTTGCTGTAGAAACAATGAATTTGTATCAATAACAGACCATTCTAATTTCATTCAAATTTAGCACTCATACAGAGCACTAAAGAGAGAGAGAGAGAGAGAGATTACCCGGAATAACTTTTGTTCTAATGATGGGATTTATGAAAACTAATAAGTGACGATCTTAACAGATCAAAGGGGTGAACTCAAGCTTTAACTAATTAGTGTTAACTATGGACAAATTAATATATATTAATTATGTTGCAGATTTTGACACAACACACTCCCTCTAAACTTTTTACATTTTTCTAGTGAACTTTTTTTCTACTTTCATCAAATTTTAATTATTAGTTTTTTTTAACAGTTTAAGTTTCACTTTTAAAAACAAAGTAAGAACCCCAGTTGTTTACATCAACAATTATCTTAAAATGCCAAACAAGCAAAAAATACATACGATCCAAGCACAGAATTTTTTAAATTAAAATTAATTTTCACTAAGATTCAGCATTCTTGAAAATGAGGTAATTGCTTAAGTAAACATTTAATGAATTATATATGTATAATAAAGTACATTAGTTAAAAGTTTGTAAAATATAATTTTATAACGACTAATATTCAGAAATAAATTGCTTGATAGATTCACTCAGAATTTCCATCCAGAAAGATCTGTAGTAAGGTAAGGGTAGAGTTTAAAATTGTGCCTTTGGAAGGAATGGTGTACCAAAAATATTTCACATTAGTAATGCAATGAACTTTGTCACAAAAAAAAAATGTTTCATTACATACTATGAAAAATTAAGCACATATAACCGCATCAATATTGTATTATAAAAACAAAATGGTGAGTTGTAATGTTAAATATTGTTTGAAGCTTCTATTTGGAATTACTGTTAAAATAAAACACGTACATATATTGTGAGAAATTGTTCAAGGTAAAGTTTTAATTTTTGCGGAAAATTTGTGCATTTTTGAGTGGAGCTCTAAGCATCCATTTTTCCTTGCAAATTATAATAGAAAATTGAATAGAATAGTTATAGAATAAAATAGAATAAAAATATAGAATAAAGTAGATAAGCTGTAGCCATAATAGGAAATAGCTAGGCGACAAAATTACCCGTTAACCGCCCATCAAAAAGTTAATCGATGCATGGGTTATCAACGTTTTATGGATGTAAATAATGTATAGTCAAAATTTCTGGCGGACAGTTCACAATCTCTTTTTACAGTTAGTATTTATCATAAAACTGAACAGTATTGATGCAGTTTCAATAGGTACCAAAGAGACTAATAAAATAGACTGAGACGCGATGACTCAGGGGATAGAGCGCTCGCCTTCCATTGTGGCGAACCGGGTTCGAATCCCAGTCGATACGAATTCCGCATCCGGCTTGCTCCGACCACAGTGCTGACGTGAAATATCCTCAGTGGTAGACGGATTATGGATTAGAGTCCCCTTGCCATTAGGCTAACCGCGTTAGGTTCTCGTGGTCTTCCTCTCCATGTAACGCAAATGAGGGTTGGCTCCATCAAAAGTCTTCCACGGAAGCAAATCTCTCCCAATACTAGATCCAGGAGTTCCCTTGTCTTCTGGATTGGGTTCAAAATTGCAAGGCTACTCCGTTGAGTATTAGTTGTCGTAAACCTATAAAATTAGGTCGGCTGTTCAACGACGGCTATAAAATAAAAATAATAAAATAGACTGTACCAATATTAGTATTTTTGCTACCTATTAAAACTACACCCAAGTTAAAAAGTCAGCAGAAAACTTTTTTAAAAAAAGTTCCTTAATCGTTTTGGCACAAAATTCCGCAGTTTTTATTAAGGAATAGCAAACGCTTTGTTTAGTTTTTTTTCCCTTTAAAAATCAGGGTGCGTAGCATTTCAAAAAGTTTTTAAAGGTGCTTATTTTTGATTTAAATTTAAGATTGCTAATCTTCAACTCCGTAGCCTTGCAATTTTGAACCTAATCCAGAAATCAAAGAAACTCCTGGATCAAGTATTGGGAGAAACTTGCCTCTGCAGAGGAATTTTGATGGAACTAACCCGCATTTGCGTTCAATGGAGAGAAAAATAACGAAAACTTCTAACTCTTAACCTTACAACAAGGGGACTTTAAAACATGATCTGTTTACCACTGGCGATAATTTACGTTATCACTCTGGTTGGTGCTAACCGGGTACGGAATTCGTATCGACCAGCCATGCCTGGGATTCGAATCCGGGCCACTTCATCGGTAGGCAAACTCTCTACTCCCTGAGCCACCACGGCTCCAAGAGTATATTTATAATCATCCAGTTAAGATCAATATAATACTTTTAATGAAATACTAATACAATCTAGAATATGACACTCACGAATAATTTTGTCACTTAAATTTTTCCACTCTAAAAACCTCTTCTGTTCTAAATATTTCATAGCCATAGAGTCCACTTGAAATATTGACGTTTTATTTTCCTCTAATATAAAAAAAAAAGAAATATTAAAGATTGCCAAGTATAGAAGTAAAAGATTGAATTTTCACATGAAAATTCATCCTTTCATTTTATTATTTTAAATTTATGATTAAATTGCGATGAAAAAGTCGTCATCAAAATGTTATTTATACGATTTAATGTATTTTACAATTTTTTTTAACCTAAGTCGCTTTCTTTTTGCTTCGAAGAGATCATTTTAATATGGGTCGTCGATACTGCCAACATGAATAATGCTCGTTGTAAGCATAACTATTTGACGAGTCCTCAGTTCGTTTAATAAACTGAATTGAAGATTTCTTATACAGGCTTTTATATTCTTTGAATTTATCCATCTTTTCATCTACTTTCCTTTTTGAAATAAAGTGACGGCTTACTTTTATATTGCTTATAAAGTTATAAAAGTACTTACGCGACTGAATAAACTTATTACTTTTTCCTTCATCGTAGGATATCATTCTTCCAAATCATTCATAAGTTCTTTGATGGCACTTTTT